GTGCAGTTGTAAAGTCATGGGCATATCGAAGAGGGGTTGAGGAAAAATCCTTCAACTATGTGACTTTTAAACTTCCTGGGCTTATTGGTGGAATGTGTTGCCTTTGTTTCACTAGTCTGAGGGACTGTTCCCAAAGCCCCTTGTCGGGTCTGTAGATGCAGCACGTAAGCGGCTGGTCTTACGGTATTCTGTATTTTTGAGGACTTTCGTCGGTCTTCTCTCATTATCGAGAAACTAATTCTCATTCCTGCAAATCTTCATGTATAAAAGCTGAGCCTGCGGCAATCATATTCAGTGTCGCATTTTACCTTTGTATCAACCACAACTCTTAATTTCTTCAGATTATCTGACAATACATACGTTTCCCGCCATACACTTCTTGTGCTAACAAACATCATGAAGCTTGTCGCTGTACTCCTCGGCATCTCCGCCGCTTCCGGCGTGTTTGCGTCTCCGGTCACCAAAACCGGCCCCGATTCTATCCTCGATAAACGAGCGTGCGCTTATGACAGCTGCTCGGCATGCGAGGACTTCTGCTGGAATGGTTTGTGACTCACTGTCTGAGCTATCAATTACATCATGGCTAATTGGCTTCGAGATCTCCCCTGTCCGCCGAACAACAGCTGCGCCCCTACCCAGGCGACGTGTTTTCTCTTGTGCCTCACGACCGGATGCTGTGAGAGCTAAGTTGGCATCGAGAGCGACCATGGACCTTGAAGAGTTAACATGATGGCCGGTCTCTATTGATGTATGAATTCTTGTCTTGTTAGCTGAAACCAGTGAAGAAATACACGCTTCAATTGGAATGTGCTTGTGAATCCGATCGTGTATTCAGTGCGATGTGAACATCATGGATACATTGCTACTTCATCAGGTACTTTCTTGTCCGCTAAATATCGGTGAGACACTGGAATATGAATGTTAGAGTGATAAGCAAAGTGATGATCCAGACGAATGCACACGTGTCTCGCGGGATGTGATAACTTATTACTCTGAGTTATGCCCAAATCATATTCGCCAGTGCATGTAAATATTTACATCGGCCAACTACTGTTCATGTGTATCTTTACTATGGGCGGTGCTGCCTCGTGGGGTTATGAAAGTGAACACGTCGCTCTCCTCGCATAAATCAATGGCTGCCTAATGGAATCGCCCAAGTATTCATCGCAATCTCTGCAAACTACACCAACCAAGCATCATCAAAGTTATCTTTCTCGTCTTTCTCACTTTTGTCTGCACCCTAGCTGCTATTCCCGGAGACTCATAGTTTCTGAAAGCGCACGATGGACCCGATTGCCTGAGCTGTGGCAAGGCACTGGATTTATGCAGCGAGCAAAGGCTAAAGCAGCTATCGAGTTGCGCATCCCCATCACAAGACCCTCAAGGCGAGAGTGATCCAACTTACCTGGTGGACGTTCTTCTCTGGCGCCCATCAATCAAAATGGAAGGTACGCCATTCGAGAGACGGTGTTCCGTCTTGAATCATTCCTCTTCAGTTATCATCTTCAGGTAAAGATCTCATGCAAGGCTCGCTGGTCCGACGTTTTCTAGACGGCGCCAGCCATTGGGTCTACCTATTTCTCTTCATGGCAAAACGAAATCACCTCACTTATACGGCCATCATGGCACGTAGTCAAGGAAACTGTACTCTTCTATATTTTTGTTCCTACTTGAGTGGATTCTACTTCTAACCATTCAAGAACTTCTCCATCTTCGAATCGATTCGAATGACTTCAGTCTACTACAGATACTATACAGTTTGGGTAGTGCCACCGTGTCGATGCTCTCAATGGCACAGTTGAACCTCTGCCCTATATGTCGACTTGCTACCTCTTCCCATGCTCTCAAAGCCCTACACCCTCGACCATGCTGCCAAGACACGACATCGAATTGCCAAGTCGCAGCCATTGTGAGATTGACTTCGCTCGCCTTGACCTCGTAGCTGAAAAGGAACCCTTTTCCAACACCAGGACTCCATACTTCCAGCATCTTTAAGTAGGGCATTAATGTAGCTGCTTGACTTGCTGCGACAAGGAGACAATCTAACTCTACAGGACTAGCAGTCAGCCGTCCTAGTTGGCAGCCGAGAACTAGACGCTCAAGCTTGCAAGGAGGCAATGCCTCGCCTGATGAGAGTAAAAAGTTGAAGTGGGAGAAGAAATCTCTAGCGTCGATGACATATGTAGTTGCCAGTTCTTTAAGATGAAAGCTGGCGGGAACCGCCGTCTGGAGCACAGCTGCTAGCCCGTTTGCTTTTTCGGAGTTACTTTGACTTTGAGCTTCAGATATCAATTTGGACCGAGATTCCCATATGGATAGCCTCTGCAGAGAAGGAACTCGATCTGCAATTGAGAAAACGACTCTGTTTCTAATTGCTTGTTGTAGTGTTTTCGTCGTTCCCAGCTGTTGTTCAAAGTCGAGTCGCTGGAGGCACGGAAAGTTGTCGCAGAGGTGACAGAGTAGGATAGACGAACAGCTCCAAGAGATCTTTGGGCTGACGGAGATTGCGGTGATACTGGAGACCATCTCAACAGGCCCCTGCTTGCTGACGACGCTGTTAATACTACTGATTTCAGTGAGTGGATCTGAAACGGCGGGTGATCGACGGTGAACACAACGACGGCGACCACGGATAGATACCAACTTCCGATCGCCTGCGTTCGGAACTGCGATACCAACTAGTTCAAGCGAAATACCATTTTGAGGTATATCTTCGGTCCAAAGAGGGAGAATAGAGAGGAGCTCTTCCAATTTTTAAAAAGTACCCTCTCTCTCTCGATAAGTGTATGTTGGCCCCCGACCTCCCGAAGGCAACGATGGCAACGGTATTCTTCCATTCTCAGACAAAGGGTAATGGTCTTGATTAGAGAACTTTGATGGCTTTGTATAGCCTCGCGAAACCCTTGAAAGCTCGACTTTGAAATCCAGGGTCGGAAGGTCAGCTTCTGCCAGAGCAACGGTTCGAGAAAGCTCTGCCATTCTTTCGAAACAGTTGCGTAGATGGCGATGGGGAGGTCTTCAGAAGTCGACACGTTGGCTAAGAATTTCAGAATCATGTGCCGGAGCTCCAGTGAAAGACCTGTCCAGCGAGGACCTTGCGTTTGTCTGCTTGAATGGCGATGTGCTTCGAGGCTCTGTGAGATAGGAGCAGCATCATGCATGTAGAAGAAAGATTTGTTACACAGATGAAGTCGGGAGGCAAGTGATTCGATTTGAGCTTTTGTTATGTCCGTCCCTATCGGGGTCATCAAGCCTCTCAAACCCAGTCAAGACACCTTGTTCGAGATTTTTCCCATTTTACTCTTACTACCTTGTTGTCGCTGAGATTTCTATCAAGGTGGCGTTCAAATAAACATTGCGAAAGTAGGAAAATGTATGTGCGGTAATCGCCAAACTCAAAGCCTTGAAGACAACAAGGTGAATTTCACATAGCCCATACATACACTGCAGAACAAGATATTCCTTGCTATCGCTATCAAGCTGATTCCTGGTGACGTCTCAGTGATCGATCACAGTCCGTGTACCTAAACCATTGATTGCCACAACCTATTCTGCAGCAAACATCGGTCAAGGTGTAAAAGAAAAAGATGGATGACGCATCGTGTTTGGTAAAAGCTTTTCTCGAAAGTTGTGAGGCATGATACTGATCGCAAAAGACGATGAAAAAGGTTTTGCGTATGATTATTCACAGAAGGTTTTCATCAATACTGAGTTCACTTGACTCTATATCTGGCCTGAGGACCGGAAGCGTTGGCATGGACTCGAATGAGGGGGCGAACCTGATAAGAAGTCGAAAACGTGTCCGTTCTGAGTTAATTGTGGCTATTTACGATCGAAACCAGATGTAACTGGTAAATCTGCTATGGGAATGACGAGGATTGTCGGTCAAGATTGTCTAAGAAGACAGGACCATCTGGTGCGAGATGAATTGAAGCATGCAGTTCTCCCAGCCCGAATCAGGACTCATTGAACATGACGCACTTGACCAGTTCGAGTGGACATCGGCCCTTTTGTTTCCCAGCTATTCCTCAAATACGAAAAAGGTCGAGTTCCACATGTGATGGCGGCTCTTCGTGGTAAGTAAGCTTAAGTACCCCGGGTTGAAGTCGAACGGAAGGTGGGCTGACATGCGGGGAAGCCGGGGTTTACCCCGCAAACATGAACACTGTTGCATTGAGGTTAACGACATTCGTTGGCCGAAGCAAACTAGATCATCGTATACGCGCTTGGAACTCACATGTTTGCCAGCGTAGATGGAAAATACGCGTATTTGACATCATTTTGCACCAAAGTCTTCTCGACTCCCGGTCCAATGTCGACAAATCGTTCAATGTGCGGTTGTATCCCATTGCACCTGCATGCTCGCCATGTGTTGCCCCGAGAGAAAGGCGCCTATCTATGCTTACCATTGTTATCAACGAGAACATGTCCTCGTGACTTGTTGTCGCTGCGCAAAGCCACCAGATTTGCGTTGAGTTCTTGGTCTTCAAGATGTTCATATCGGGAACACAGGAATGAAAAGCAAAGGTTAGATAGCCAGCGGCCACGTCATGAGATACGACCTCGCGTGAGGCCTCAGCTTTTTAGCCTCATGAAAACAGGAAACCAATGGCTCAATACCTACGGTATCATCGCGTTTGAGAGGAGGTAGTTGGTAGGTCAGGGTCAAAAGGCTCCACTCCCAATCCGTGCCGATGCCTTCTTCCATCAAGGATTCGAAAGGTCCCGGAAATATCCCCGCATTCCCAGGCTCCGATCTGGGCCTGGTCATCGAGAGTCGGTCCGAAATGACGAACCTCACAGTTGATCTCCAAGCTGCCGCCCTTGGTACGAGCGGCAATATCACTGCAGCCACGACGACCAGTGATCCAATCGAGGTAGCAACTTGTTGCCGTATGTATGAAGTTGAAAGCATATATAAAGATCTTCTTATCGAGAGGACTTGAAGCTTGGGACACCCACAAGACCAACCTAAGCCTTCCTCGCATTCCTCTTCAATCATGTTGGGCATCTTGAAAGGCTCCCTCTTGCTGCTCGGGGTTCACAGCGCGTATGCCGTCCGACATGTCTCCCGTTCCGAGAAGAATGGTATGTCAAGAGCACCATCCCTTCAGTCACCAAGCAGCTCATAAATCAACAGGGACCCGAGACTGGGACGCTGCCGCCGTAATGGCTTCGGACTTCGTCTCCAAACTCACTCTGGATGAGAAGGTCTCGATGATCACGGGCAACTCATCTGCAGGCAACTGCATCGGCGTCATCACGCCCATTCCCCGGCTTGGATTTCAAGGCCTTTGCCTTCTTGACGGCCCCGCAGCCATCAACCGTGTCGATCTAGTCAGCGTCTTCCCTTCAGGCATCACAGCTGCTGCGACCTTCGACCGGGATCTCATCTACCGTCGGGGGTATGCGCTGTGTGAGGAATTTAAGGGCAAGGGCGGGCACGTAATGCTTGGGTAAGTCGATCACTGTAAATGCGACGATCGCAGCAGCTAAGCACCAACAGACCTTCGACGGGTCCTATGGGTCGTCACGCCCTGGGTGGGCGAACTGGGAGGGCTTCGGTCCAGACCCCTACCTAGCTGGGATCTCAATCGCGCAAACCGTCCATGGTGTTCAAGACGCTGGAGTCCAAACTTGTTCGAAGCACTACATCGCAAATGAGCAAGAGACCCAGCGTTCCAACACCAACCAGACAGATGGCACCCGGGCCGAAGCCATATCCGCCAACGTCGACGACAGGACCATCCATGAACTCTACCTCTGACCCTTTGCCGACGCTATCAAGGCCGGGACTACGTCTGTTATGTGCTCCTATAACCGCCTCAATCAGACCTACTCCTGCGAAATTTCCCACACCCTGACCAAGCTCCTCCGCGAAGAGTTGGGTTTCCAAGGGTACACCGTTAGTGATTGGTTTGCAACTCATTCCACCTCGGAGTCCATCAACGCGGGCTTAGATATGGAGATGCCTGGCATCATCCCCTCTTACCAAGGGTCCGTCCTCTACTTTGGTGACAGAGTGCTCGAGGCCGTCAGCAACGGAACCGTCTCCGAAGCCAGGATTGACCAGATGGTCCGCAACATCATGACGCCGTACTAATTCCTCGGTCAAGATGCCGAAGACTATCCAACAGCAGACCCAACACTCCGATGGGTGACTCTCATTCAAGAAGTTGGTCTCGGTGCTGCCAAGGCTGGCGGCTTCCTCCCTGATGACTTTGCCTTCGAGCATGGCCGGGATGTAAGAGGCGATCATGCCAAGGTCATCCGCGAGATGGGTGCCGCCGGCACCGTTCTTGTCAAGAATAACAACACACTACCATAGAGCAGTCCCAAGATCATCGGCGTCTTTGGCAACGATGCAGGAGACATGACTGACGGGTTCTACCGCCCGTTCGAAGTCCCCGATAGCGTTAACACCGGCACCATGATCATCGGCGGCGGCTCCGGCACAAGCCGCGCATCATACATCGTCTCACCACTCAGAGCCATCCAAGCCAAGGCCGCAGAGACAGGCGCTGAGGTGCTCTACGCCACCAACAACAAGCTCCTGGCGAGGAACGACTTCAGGGGCATCTATCCTCCGCCCGAGATCTGCGTCGTGTTCCAACAGACCTTTGCCAGCGAAAGCTTTGATCGCACTTCTTTCGAGCTCGACGGAAACTCCACCGCTGTGATCGACAACGTCGCTGACTTCTGCGGGAACACCATCGTGGTTACACACTCGGGCGGCGTCAACACCATGCCCTGGGCGAACCACACCAAGATCGGAGAAATCCTCTTGGCGCACTACCCCGAGAAGGAGAGTGGGAATTCAATTGTCGATCTTCTCTGGGGGGATATTGCTCCCTCGGGACGTCTTCCGTACACTGTTCCACGTGACGAAGCCGATGCGGGCCCGCCAATTGTCAACATCACTGGGCCTGTTTCCGACCCCCTGGCCTGGCAGGCGGACTTCACTGAGGGCCAGCTTATTGACTACCGCCACTACGATGCCCAGAATATTGAGCCGCTGTATGAATTCAGCTTTGGATTGACTTACACCACTTTTGCCATTGAAGACAACAAAATCGACGTCAGCCTTGTCAAGGGGAACAGCTCAGTGACGGCTCATCCGGATGCATCATTGAAGACACAGCCTGGTGGAAACCCACAGCTATGGGACGAGCTCGTCACCGTCAAAGCCAAGGTCACCAACACTGGCGACCGGTCTGCGCATGCCGTTCCACAGCTTTACTTGTCTTATCCCACAGGAGCTCCGGAAGGAACCCCGCGAAAAGTGCTTAGGGGGTTTGAGAAGGTGATGATTGATTCGGGTGCTAGTGCTGACGTCGAGTTTGGAGTGTTGCGGAGGGATCTGAGCTTGTGGGACGTTGTTGAACAGGATTGGGTCATTCCTGGCGGACAGTTCACCTTCAGAGTTGGTTTCAGCTCTAGAGACCTCCCAGCTAAGACTATGTTTTCCGTCCTGGGCTGAAGGGACTGAGACTGGCATTCTGCTTGTCGCCTGGATTGACGAGTAGCCTGCTGGGCTCTAGCTACCTACACAATTGTCGATCAACTTACAACTCATGGCTTCATTACGCAACACTTTTCGTACCGCTCGCTATTCCTCTTGTTGCCCTCGCTTACGTATGTCTGAGCTTACAGCGTATGCACGTAATATGGCTTCGAGGATACGAGCTAGACAGCGTCCTGTTAAGGCACGTCAGCCTTGGCAGGCGCCCGACCGCAGACTATTGATCGAAAATGAACTGTTTTCGGGTCCTTTGTAGGCAATTCAGAGTTGAATAGGCCGTAGTAAGCCCGTCATCTTGTAGATGTCGTGCAGCAGCTAGACAAAGCGTATGTATCAGTGCAGGGATACAACATTGAGTTGACTTCACATTACCACATCGAGGAACGTCACATAATTAGATTCAAGATCAGCATAAATAAGACCCAAACCCCACGGAAAGTTTTGAGCTTTCTGACCAGTGAGGCTCCATCCCTATCTCATATTCGTTCCGAAGACACATACCCCGGATCAACCTTGAGATCTTTCATAATCCACTCCGCAACTTCAAAATGATTATGCAAACCCTCCTTCAAACGGCGTTCCTCGCTGTCGCCGCCAAAGCAGCCAGCCTCACCGCGAGAACCCCCGACGGTACCGACGGTTTTCGTCTCCGGGCCAACATGCTCTATCCCGACTCCCCAGGGAATGGGCCTAATGTTCACGACCAGGAGCTCAACTACGTCTCCGGCGACGAGTGCCAAGCCATCGTCGTCCTGCTCCCCGAGGACCAAGGGACCACATTCTACGCCAACAACAATACCATTGGTGTCTACTTCGACAACACCTCGCCTCAGTTTGCCGGCATGGTCGTACCCTGGCGTGGGCCGGCGATGGTACCGAGCGGCAGACCCGTGGAGCTCAGGTGCTCCGACGGTACCCCGGGTCTCACTCTCAATGACAAGGGCGTGTACTATCCAGGAGAGATGGGCCCGGACTTTAATGGCGCGTTCATGGTCTGCCAGGAAGGAGACGACGCGATTCTGAGTTTCTTTGGGTGGGGGCAGAGGCCTATTTGGGGTTGTTCTGTTATCCAGCTTCTCCCGGTCTACAAAGCATTGGGAATACATAGGCTGTAATGTATATTTCGCAAAAGCCGTTTTGAACTAAACTTTCTGTTGTCTTCATGCTTCATCTCTTCTAGCATCGTACCGACCAACTCTGAAGGTAACTCTGCCAGGTATCGAAATACCCTCTGGTAGGAAAGAGCCCCATCTGTGCGGTTTTCCACCGTTAGGTCACAGCACGAAGGAAAACCTGTGTGACGAATTCGTCCCAAATCTCAAGTTGAGAGCAAAACGTAGATTCTGCCGCTGGTAGGAGTACCCTCAACCAGGATCCAACGGGCATGCGTTCCCTGGACAGAGATTGCATCCACAGATGTGATACCATCGCAAACATGGATACTACCCCCCCCCCCCCCCCCCCCCCAATACCCATTTTGTAGCCCTCTCCTTTTCCCATCTCGCTGCTTACTAGAGGTTCACTGGCCTCAAAGTTGCGCTGCGGTTGGTACACTGTGGAACCGCAGAGCTTTCGTGGTCAATCGAACGCCGCCACTTCTCGACTGCGACTTTCGAAGCCATCAGCGTAGCCACGCTACCGTTCGACTCATCTTTCGAAGTCGCCTTGAAATCGACTTTGGTATCAACCTGGTATAAATACCTTCGGCTAGGATCGCGCCTACATGGCTGTTTGTCCAGCAGCAGCGCAGAGAGGGCTGGGTGTTTGATCGACCCGTAGTCGGTGATCATAAGCCATCAACTACCCAGGACACATCCCGTGACTGCATGACAATAGGAACCAGCTAACGAACCAAATGTGACACTCCTAGCGGGTAAATATGCCGAAGATCTCAGGACCTGCATGGCAAACACGCCAAGCGGGCATCTCCCGTTGCCAATCGCCCTTTCACCCTGACGCATAGATCAATCTCGACTACGATGTCAGGAACATTGAAGATGACCGAACAATGGACGATTGTAGACACAAACAGAATAAAAAACGGTTTGGATACAATTTCAACAAAGATGTTTGGAGAAGCGACATTAGTCAATGTCTCGAGTTGTTGGTCCTTACGCCAGTTAAGACATGCAATATAACAAGACGCCTAGTCGAGACAGGGCGGTTCTTAAGACTTCACTGAAAGTTCCACAAATTTCACGTCGTCTGTGGAAGACGTGGGACATCTAACATATCATCCAGCCATTAGCATCAGGCGCGAGCTTACCATCGGTCACAGCTGGTCAAATCGTGACTCAGATAATCAACTTCTCACAACTGCGCCAGGCACAACATGGAAACTGCGGGTCGAGTCCGGCTGGTTGATTACTCCGACAGCGAGAGTGACGACGACATTCACAACAACGAGGGCATTGCACCGCCACCGCACGCGCACGGAGACGCACGGCCACCCGAGACCGAGAACGAGCTCGCCAAGATCGTGATCGAGCTGCAGAAGAAGTACATTCGCGAGTGCGAGGAGATCCAAAGAAGACAAGAGGAATGGCGCGAGGAGATACGCAAGTGGCAGGTCGGGTTTGAAGGGAAATGGGAGCTTCAGCGCAGGTTGTTGGTGGATGTCATCCCGGTGCGTTAGGTGTGGGGATGACGAAGGCGAGAGTTTGATGCTGACTGATTGGGATGCACAGAAAGTGACCGACTTGCGCATCGGAGAGATCCTGAGTCGAGAAGGGATTCTTTCAGCAGCGGATGCGACTAACGAGGCGAGGATTCCGTCACCTTCGTTTGCGACGCCGGCGGGCCCCGCTGCTCCGGGATGGGGTCGAGGCCCGGCCCGAGCGGATGTGACGGTGACCGAACGCGAGGCGAGCATAGATGAAGGACCGGAGCCGATAGCGACAGCAGTACCCACACAGCCACAGAGGACGAGAAGCACCGGCAAGAAGGCGCCACAGGCTGAGATTCCTTCATCACTTCGTCGCCTGAACCAGGCCGCAAGGAAGGTTGGTAGCAGTGCAGACTCGAGACAGCAACACGTAGTGGAGCCTCCGACCCCGTACGACGACCCGAAGTATTGCAGTCCCTTGACCATCACAGACGAATGCGGCAACCAGAAGCCCCTGTTCAAGTTCCAACCCACACCAGACACGGTAGAGGAGCTTTGGGCGGAGTACCGGCATGGTCTTCGTGGTCAGCCGCCCATCGACCAGTTGGAAGTAAAGTATCGAGCCAAGTGGCGCAACGACACATATGGCCGGTCATGGTTCACTCGGCGCAAGCCATTTTGGGACAAGATGAAGCAGATGCTGGCGGATGGAAAGACGGAAGACGAGGCACTGGAAGTGATGAGAGAACTTTCCAAAGGAAGCGTGCCGGGCCTCATGGGCAGGCTCTGCAAGGATCGGGCAGGCAAGGGATTGAGGCCGAGGAAGCGCAAAGCCTCCCACGGCTTGTCGGAGACTGAACGCACCAGGCGAGGTTCGGAAGCCGATGCCGGTAGTGTGGCGGAGGAAACCGATGACGATGTGGAGCTTGGGCGGTTGGATCCGGTCGTCCTGCGTAAACGGATCAAGATGTTGAAGGTTGGGGAACTTTCTGATAATAGTGAGACCAGGACGAACTCGGGATGCGATGATGATTATGAGCCTTGGGAGGACTGACGTCTGGCCAAGAAGACCGATCAAATCGAGAAGTCATTCAGCAGGCGAGTAATACTTGCGAGGCATCTTGATGTGGCGCCAACCCAGAGGCTAAGAACCTGTATTGAGCCGAGTGCTCTGGCTATTCAGGATTGGGTGGAATGTTGGCCGTTGACAGGTCTGGCAGGACATCTCGGGGGTTCGGCGACCGGGGATTCAACGCCGGTTCAATGCCGGAGGACGCTCCGAGGATGCGGAGGGCCAACCGAGTCTAGACCAGAGGCCGATGTGCCAAGGAGGCAGGAGACAGAGCAGTAATCTTATAAGGAAATGTCCGTGGAGCCCAATACATCCCCGAATGCAGGTGATTGTGCCTCGGCCACGTGGACTTGGACTCGTTGAAGACAGTTTCCCCGGCCGATTTTTGCTGGGGTTGGGAAACCATTAAATCTGAATCTGCACAGTCGATTGGCCAAACGGTCAAGATGGCAGCGATACCGGCTTCGATTTGATCCCTCGCAACTAACAGAGTCATCCTAAGCAAGCGTTCGAGGCTGGGCGACAAAGAGACGGAAGACGAAGAAACAAGCTTCTGCCTAGAATCAGCTGGTCCCAAGTTTCAAAGACGACACATGGGCTTGCAACTTTGAAGTCAAAAGGGTCGGACGGACTCGCTTCGGCGCTGTCGCAGCAAGCTCAAAGGGGTCGCATGCGAGGGCAGACGAAGAGTGAGAGAGTGTATCGTGTTTGAGGGCGTGTCGTCGTCGTGGTCGTCAAGGCGAAAGGTCGATTGCGGCGCATCCCAAGCTGTCGGTGAGGGGCTTTCCGTGGGGATCCCTGTCGAGAATTATCCGTAAGAGCCCGGAAAGTGGTGTGATCTCTCGGGTTTTGGAGAATCATGTTGGCAGCGGGAGCCAGGGAGGCCCTGGGGGAAAATGTGAGAGAGACGCCGGAACCAGACGCACGAGGACCATTCGGGCAGTTGATGCCTGGGGAAGCAGCTTGGAGAACGTGTGCATGCCTGAGGCTCAAGGGCACGCGAGCGGTGGGGCCTGTCAGGTGAAGGAGGATGTGGTCTGTGCGGGCTGCGGAAGGTTAGGTAAGGTGGAAGGAGGGAGGCCAACAGTGAAGAACAGAAGGAAGGAAGGAAAGAAGGAAGAAATAAAAAAAGGGAAGGACAGGGCAGGCACAGGGCGTTGTCGCACTTGCCTCACGGAGCACAGCAGGAACACAGCAGGAGCAGCCACCAGCAAGCAGGAGAAGGAGCACCGCAGCATGCATAACCCAGGCAGATTGCAAACAAACACGTCGATCCGGACTGCCATTGCGTGATAAATTGGATCATTTCCCATAATAAGCTTGGCCAATGCCGGGTATTGGTTGCAAGCTGTTTCTGCTGTGCAAGCGATACCTGTCGGCCGTTCTCTGTGTTCGCAGTGTCACTGTTCATATGAATCCCATGTCTTTTCCGGTGGTGTTCTTCAGTGGCTCCCTCGCTGTGAATAAAACGCTGCTGTACCTGAAGCACCTCACCTAGATGCAGACTTGGGAGTTTCTCATCCTGCAACTGCCATAACTGCTTCCTGCATTGCTTGAATGCACCTTCCCCCGTCAACATTGCAACTGAAACCGCCTGCAACCGGTTTACGAACGGTGGGCCAAACTTGCTCAAAAGGCAGGAAGTTGAAAATGGCAGCCAGTCACGATGCAAGGCCTGATTTTCCGGGTAAGGCAGGCACGCCTTCAACCTAAGGGGGGAAAGGAGCAGGGGACCGCCGATGTTGGCGCGCCTTCCCGCCAATCGTTCGCTTCACACCCAGCCCTGTCCGCCCCCACTTTGTTCGTTATTTTTTCTTTTTTTCTTTTTTGTCTGCCCCTCCCCCTCATCTCGAGACTGGCGGCCCTTCTTGACCTCTTCCTGCCACGCTTCCTTCAAGTGTGAGATGAGTGTGCCTCGGCGGCCGTCTCTTGCTTCGAATGCGACTCTGATTCATCCGACCGGTAGAGGCACTCTTCCTTTCGGGTGCCACCTCCCGATCGGCTCGTTCGCAGACGCCAGGCCTGGGGCCATGCGTCGCAACCCTCTGAACCAACCACATGGATGCTTTCTTCGCCGTCGCACTGCCCAGACCCAGGGTCACAGGCATCAAGACAGGGTGTCGAAATGCCTGCCCAGCCTGGATAGCCGAAGAGCGGGAGCGCCTCCGGCAACGTCATGTCCAAAATGCAACCTGATGCCGCAACAAATGCGTCGTGAGAAAAAAAAAAAGTCTCATCTCGACGCCAGCATCGCCATAGCTGTATGCCTGGAATGCCGAGGGTAACGGCCTGCGCCATTTGCTGGGGCTGAGATGTGCCAGGTACATTGTCTCTCGTGAATCCGACGCTTCTTCCAAGTAACGGCGACATTGAAAACTCCAGCAGTACGTATTACGCTATTACTCGGCGGCAGTCTCGCAGAAGACGGGATCAAGGGACTGCTCCACGTCAATTGGACACCGTGACGGGACAATAGAAATCCCACCCACACTCACCCATATTTACCCCGACATTGTTCCTCGCATGCGTATTCTGCATCTGCAATCCGCAATCTGGCCCCCTTTCCTCTTCCGCAACGCTGCCAACTCGTCGCCGCATTCGGATCGTCAAAGGGGTCATCGTTGTTGCCGAGCCTGGGTGCGGAAAGCAGAGAGTGGAGAGCCACGGGGCAAAACCTGGGGGAGTCTTGCTACGCCACGCGCCCGTCTCATCTTCCCCTCTTCTCTTCCCTTGCCCACTTTCCTGCTTCCTGCGTCCAACCCTGCATCCCTTTTACTGCCTGGCCATCTGCAGACTCTGCTGTGGCTGAACCTGCGCCAAGCGAGTCCGCCGCTTTACATAAGGTTGCCACCTCGCTCTTCACTCGCTCACTCTACCCCACGAATCGCCATTTTGGCCGAGACACGCCTGGGCACACGTCGTCTTCAAAGTCTGTACATGCGGCTTTCCATCTCACGTGTCACCGGGCTCGACTTGTCTCATTCTCGCATACGACACCGCTTAATCAAGATCCAATATCTCACCTGCCCGCCTTCGCCCCAGTTTGACGATACCCCAGGTTTTCACCACCGACACCCGCCCATCATGACTTCGAACACGTTGCTCTCCCTCCCCGATGAGGTTCTGCTCCAGATTGTCGGACACTTGACACCGCCTCTTGACGGCTTGGACATTCCCTTCACGGCCTACACCGATCCCGATGGAGTCGTCGTGAGCAATCGCGTCGCCCTGTACCGACTCGCCTTCGTCTGCCGCCGCTTGTCGGATCTCGCCATCCCGTCTCTTTACCAGACGGTCTATTTATGGGGCCGGTCACGTCTTCAATCGCTATTGCAGACTCTCCTAGAACGGCCAGAGCTCGGCGCAAACATGCGCATATTCTCATACGTCTCGTGTCTGGGCAGCGATCACTATCCCACCGACGTACTATGTCCGTACAAGCGTACCCATTGGCGCCACTTAGTGGAAGAGTCGTCCCGATTCCCGGACCGCATCAAGGCCTTCATGCGGGAAGCTAAGACGGATCTCGAAGTCGTTCAAATCGTGTTCGCCCTCGTTCTCTACTCGACGCCAAATTTGCGCACCCTCCACATGCGCATGCCCTTCGCCGCTGGCGAGTACCAGAAGCTGAAGGATATTCTCACCCCGGACATCGAACCCGACGAAGGCTGCCCCCGAGTTCTCAACTCACTCACCCGTATCATGCTGGAGCCCATGCCCGACTTTCCCGGGGCGACGTTCTGGCCCCGCCGCGAGCTGCCATGTCTACTGAGGCTGCCCAATCTCAAGGCCGTGGAGCTGGGATCTGCTCATTTCCGACCAGCAGCCCTCCCGCCAGGTGACGGATGGGGCGATGACGGCAGCTGGAAGCATGTTGAAGAGGTACGACTCGTCCGCAGCAGCATGTGGGGCTCAGGCTGGCACGCCATCTGCGCTCTGTGCCCCAATCTGAAGCTTCTCGAGATGAGTCCTTCTGGCGTTTCTGATCAGGCTGCCGACGGCGAGCATAACCTCAATACCGCTCTGGGTCTGGTTGCCGAAACCCTCGAGACGTTTTCATTCGAGGGCATCTTGGCCGCCAACTTCTCCCAGCATGTCGGTGGAGACGGCACTCTCACTTGCTTACCCAAGATGAAGGCGCTGCGAAACGTCAAACTCGACATCGGCATCTTGTTTGGCAAGCCGGAGAGAATGGATAAGTTCGACGTCCTGGGAAGCCTGCCCCAATCCTTAGAAATACTCGACTTGGCAGAACTGTGGCACGATGTTGAAATCGACAAGCTGGGATTCCAGGCCCGAGAACAGTATGAAAGCGGCATTCAGAACGCCTTGCGGAAGCTCGTTTTCGGAAGCAAGGAGAAGCTCCCGAACCTCAAGGAAGTCACCTTCCGCCCGAACCCCTTTTACGCTCAACTACCTTTGCCGGATACCCTCATGGTTGGGAAGTCGGACGTTGACTTCAAGCTGGTATACTAAGGCCTCACCTTGAGGTGGAATAATTCTATATTTCTAGCATGACAGCGAGCGCGGAGTTATCGATCATACATGGAAGCAAAAGCAAAAGCATAAGCATTCGATATCATTGACTTAGGTATATCTATTTAATCAAACTCATTTCTTCATCCGACGCCCGCGCTCGGTTGCGACCGAAAATCTCATGAAATCGTCCACTCAACTCACAGCCTCCACCAGCTTCGCGGTCGCTCATCTCTCGATGGCTCTCGATAGGTTCGGCGATCTCCCACGATGTATGTCTTTTGACGAGGTCGTCGCTCATAGTCACGGGCGGCATGCCGTCTTTCCTTCTCACGATCCCACTCTCGATCGCGACTACGGTCCTCGCCACCCCAGCTTCCCCGTCGACTATGCCTCCGAGGCCTCTCTTCCTCAACTTGGATCCGATCCTCACCATGACGGTATTCCCCGCCCGTAAACCTCACCTCACTCCGGTGCCGCCCCTGGGTCCGCGGACGATCCTCACTCCGATACCGCGTCGTCTTCTCACTACCCCGATCACTCGGCCTCTTACTCGTTCTCTCCTCCGTCGCCGCCGGCTCCTCGAGGATGCCACTAACCCTCCTCTGCCCCATCCTCTCATACTTCCGCAGCAAACCCACATACTTCACCCAGCAATCCGCCAAAATCTCCGTGCTCAGCTTCAAATCATCCGCCTCGGCGCCCATCAACGCGATCCGCCGCGTCCATCCGCACTCCCACGCATCCAGCACCTTCCCGCACGCCCCGCCATGCGACGCCGCGTGCCGCCGCCGCTCCCTCTCGATCCGCTGCCGGCCCTTCTCGAGCTCCGCCTCGGCGTGCAGGAGGATGCGGCCGATGTCGAGCAGCTCCGAGATGGCGAATTTGAAGTCGCCCGACTCGGCGGTCTGGAAGTCCGCGTCGCGGTCGAAGGTGGGCAGCCGGCGCCAGGGCGTGTGGGACGGGATGGGCGTTGGCGGGCGGGAGTAGCTGTACGAATGGCGGCGCGATGAGGAAGAGGAGGAAGGGGATGGGTGGTCGCAGACGTAGCGGTGGTAATGGGTCGGCCGGCGACACGCCCTGCGGCAGTGGTGGAGGGTGCTGGAGAGGCTGCAGCAGCCGTGCGAGGGGCAGCGGCCGGCGTGCGAGGAGGAGAAGCGCGGGAGCGGGCAGGCGCAAGAGGGCGGTGTCTCGTACGGGTTGATGTAGTGTGTTTTGGTGGATGATATGATGGGCCGGACGTCGCAGGAGAGGGTGTGCGTGTGGACTTTGTAGCACATCGCGGCGGTGGTTGGGTTATCTGGAGAGTTGAAGAGATGGGATAGCTTGGAATGGGTTGAATTACGGAGGGTGGCTGGATGGAGTGACGAGGCCATGGAAATGGGGAGTTTCCCGGCCCAGATATATCATCTGGCTGCTGTGCGGTGAATATTATTGTTCAGGGTGTTGCGGGTCGAGGTGGAAGACTGGGTTGACGGACAAAGAACCTGTGTTTGGATGAGTATGCGGATGTTCTGGTGTCGTTGTTGGCCTCGTCGGTGAAGAAAGTCTTTGTTGTGCTGAACAGCATCTTGACATTCTTTCAACGTCGTCAATCCTGTTTTTCTTCGACTCCATCAGGACGGTTTCATGGACTGTGCCTCCCAACATTGGCTCTGAAGGCAAATTTGGGAGAGAAAAAGTGTTCTCTTGTCCACAGCTATGGATTACAACACCAGAGAAGAGAAACCTCCACAACTCAATTCACACAAATAAAAACAAACATCAAAGCAGCAAAACCATTACTCCCCAGGCGGATACGCCTCCAAAAGCGTCTCCCGCTCCGCCGCCGTGATCGGCATCACCCCGCCATGCCGTGCACTCGGCGGCATCACCCATCCCTCCCCTGCCAGCTTCCAGTCCGGCTTGCTAATATCCTCCGTCACAAGCCGGATGTACCTCCGCCCCATAAACTCATCCACGAACGAGAAGTACTTCTCCTCGTTCACATCCCCGGGGTTCGACTTCACCACCGCCGGGCCCTCGATCTCGCCCACACCCGCAGTGGAGGAAATACAGCTCGCGACGATGTCCCACCCTTCCAGGCCTGCTGACAGGTTGCTCGACTTCTCGTGGATTATGTCCCGGCACCCTGTGGCGTTGCCGGAGTCGTCCTTGGTGAAGCGGTGGTATACCCCGTCCACCTCGACAACGGTGGAATCATACTGCGAGCCGCCGGAGTTCTGCCACACCTGCGCCTCGCTGAACTCCACAAAGTCGCTCGTCGTCGCGTAGAGGATGCGTTCATACGTCCTCCGTGTGTGCTCCACACCCCCCTCCTCATAAAGGCTTGACGCCCAGAAGACGAACCACATCCCCAGCCCCTCGTCAAAATACGCCTCCGGCGCCCACGCGTTCCCTGCCTCGGACGGTGCGACGAGCACATGCCGCTGCTCCGACCAGTGCACCAGGTCAGGCGACTCCCAGACCTCGATGTGCCGGCTGCCCACGCGCTGGGCGTCGGTGAAGGACATGCCGCGCCCGATGGAGAGATCCGTTGCCAGGAGGAAGAATCTGTCGTCGGTGGGGGCGCGGGTGATGAATGGGTCGCGGAGGCCGAGGGAGCCTTTGGAGGAGGTGAGGATGGGGGAGGAGGCGTTTAGGGGGGTGTAGGTTAGGATGTCGCCGGGAGAGGAGGCGGCGAGGAAGATGTTCTCGCCGCCTATGGAGTTGCGGACGAAGTAGACGAAGAGGTAGGCTTCGTAGACTGGTGAGGAGCGAGGGGTGGGGAGGCTGGGGCTGGAGGGGATGGTGGGTTTGGCATGGGTGGAGGTGAAGATGGCTGTGAGGGTGAGAAAGATGGCGAAGGGACTCATTGCAAGGTTTGGTCAGTTGGTTTCGTGTAAGGTCTTGATGGTTGTATTGGTCTGAGCTATCAAATTGACAAGACGTTTCATGATGGCATTTTCAGGCCCAGCGAGGGCAGGGAGGATTAAGAGCTTCGGTCGAAGGCCCGGAGGATATTTCGTCCTGGAGGACCTTGTAACTTCCTCACGATCATCATCGCAACTTGTCTCTCATCGCGTTCGGAGAATCTTCAACGCCCATCTACGTCCGGTGTCTGGGGTGGTGATTACCGTACCAGCCGGCGTGCGTCCCGACTGCGGTGCCGATTGCTACGCTAGCAATGCCGGCGCGGGAGTCGGCTGATCGGTGTCGCAACTCGCTGGTGACTGGCTCGTGTCCCGGACCTGCTGTCTGAACTCCCGAAGACATGTTCCCTGGGAAAGTGTTTCTCCTATCATGTGGCACGAAATTCGTTTTCGCATCTAGTCTCACTTAGAAATTGGTACTAAGCAAGCGAACAACGCGAGAACTGGTTCAATTGGTGAGATTGCGCCACGTCTTTTCAACATTTACATCTAGAAAGCTACATCCTAGGCCAGCTCCAACCTCAGCGCATCATACTGCACATACAACGCATCCGGCAAAAGAGCAGTCTCCACACTGCTGGCATTGAACGGCAAACTCAACGTCAACTCGTTCCGCCCCTCCTTCAGCGCCTCCGCAGAGAAAGTGAACTTGTTCTCAATATTCTGGCACGCGACAGCGCTCCTCACGCCGCACGATCCGCTCCGCCAGTACGGGATCACCCACGTTGACTCATACAGGTTGTTGAAGTTCACCGTCCACGGCAGGTTGCTGTACGGATGGCCCGAAACAGTCCACTTCGCGTTGCCATTCGCTGTCTTGGTCCCGGCAATCTGCACCGTGAAAGTGGCTGTTTTGGCGGCGTCCAACTTGTCTTTGTTGAGGTCGAAGGTAATGGTCCAGTTGTTCACGTTGTCGTAGTAGTTCTCCTCCCGGAGGTGGTTGCCCTTGGCGGGGAAGAATGCCCAGTGGATGTAATTCAGGTCCTGCGCCTCGTCGCTCTGGCCGACTTCGAAGTTTACGCCCTCGGGGAAGTCTTTCTCGTAATCATACTTGCCCCAGTAGATGCGATACTGTTCTGGTTGAAGAGGCTTGGAGGTATCCGGTGCGTATCCGTGGAGGTATTCTCCGGAGGACTTGTCGGGGACGCCGATCCGCCAGACTTCTTCGCCCGCACTCTCCTCTTTCCATTCGAAGGTCGGTATGGTAGTTGCAGTGTCTTTGGTGATTTCGACGTCGTCTTGGATGTACCATCCAAACACCCCGTCCGCGTAGATAGTGACTCTGTAGGTTCCTTCAGCAACGCGGGGTACTCTGAAATCCCCGCTCTCGTCGATCTCAGCCCAGTACTGAAGTGACTTGGTGTTGAACACATTGAGTTGGAAGTCCTGCTTATTCTCCGACAACACCACAATCGGTCGTTTCGCACCCTCAGGAAGCTGCACAGCCCCCTCAAACACAGTCCGCTGCGTCGACGGAATGAAGTTGGGAACATACTCCGCAATGCTGTCGTAAAACGCCTCGTTCCACTCTGCGTCCGCGAACTGAACCGCATCGGCCCTCAAATCGGCCACAGTGGCCTCCGCCGCGCCCTTGTTGAAGTAATAAAACTGCGGGCCCCAAGTGCGATCGAAGCCGTGGGTGATATTCGGCATCGGCGCGCCGTGGTGGCCTGAGACCATGTAATTGTACACAATACCATCAACGACCAAGTCTGAGTGAAGAGGTCCGCCATAGTACGTCTCCATCGTGTTGTGGACGAGCCACGCGCCGAATGTGCTCCCATCAGTACTGGTCGAGCCGTCACTGACTTGTCCGTGGACATCGTGGTTGCGCCAGGACTCTGACAGGGTGTATTTGGTGAAGTAGTCTGAGTATTGCTCCGTGTACGGGTCATCGGGCACACCGCCGACATACGTCGTGGCATCTTGCACCGTCACGGCCTGAGAGAATGTGGCATCCTTCGGTAGTGGCCCAAAGTTGCCGTCGCTGGTTGAGAAATGCGTCCAAAGGGCCGTGTTAGGTCTGAACAGCGTGCGGAGCTCGCCCAGATCGCGGAGGAGCGGCTTGCTTTCGTTGAAATACGTCAGACGCGAGAAGGCGTGGAGTCCAGTCTCTTCACCGCGAAGGAAGAAGTACTGCGATAGTGTTTGATTCGTTGCGGCGAACTTGTCAGACATGATGAGCCCGCCGAACGGGGTGCCGGTAGAGTCGGTGCCATTGATGAGCTGCAGCGAGGCCGTTCCTCCTGGCGTCCAGAAACCTGAGGGCGTGCATGAGCAGTCGAGGTAGGGACCCTTGCCGCGGTTGCCGTTCTGAGGACCCAGGAGGTCCTGGCCATCGAGGGTGAGGTCGGTGATGTGACCGCTGGATTTCGTGAGGACGACGGAGAGGCGGTCGTTTGTGAGGGTCAGGTGGGTTGAGTTCTCTCCGGTCGTGAGACGAGCCGCTGCGTGGCTCGCAGCGGCGAGGATGAGAGTTAGGAAACCCCTCATGTTGGCGTCGGCGGACCTGTGGGATGAAATGAACGACCCCGCCTACTGTTGCGGCAACTCACAGCTTCACGATAAATGGTTAACGAATTATATACTCGTGGAGAAGAGTCAAGGAATTGCAAGCTCTATTTTCATGAGATCATCTTTAGATAATGCAAGGTGTCCGTGTCTGCAACCTGATGCCCCCGTCATGAACTACCCCGTAAAGCGACATGGAATAATTTCGGGCAGATCCAAGACCGAGCGCCAAGCTTTCTACGAAGCAATCTCCATGAGGGCACCAATCCGACGCTGCCATCTGCCCACTGTAGTCGGCATTGCACTAGCATCCGTAGGTGCCGAGAAAAAAGCTGCCAAAAGCGAATGTTGTCAATTAAGCGACCTGTCGTAAAGGTTTCTGTCAACTAAGAGCCTTGGCAACTCTGGCGTTGCGATCGTCAGCTAGGTTCACCAAGGAGGAAAGTGCGCCGCTTTGATCTCCAGCCGAAAGGCTCAGACTTTGTTGATGAGTGTTTTAAAGATTAACAGTGGTCAATTCAATCCTCTACAAACATTCGAAGCGCACAACCAATTACTCCATCTAACACCAAGATGCCAAAGCAATCCCACGTCAATTGCCTCTGTAACTACTCCCCCTAGAGCGGTTACAGCCTCACCAAACTTTTCCGAGATAAAGAAGTGATGTCCGCATGTTTCTAAGCAAACGCCCTTTCCCTAGAGCCCGAAAGAGACTGTGACTAATCGAAGCGTGGCGGACATTTGGAAAGCAAGGACAAATTCCAAATTGCAGGTGACTTTCATAAACTACAAGAAATCTTGTATCAAGCTTACAGCAAAAGCCCTAGAGAAGACACTGCTTGGATCGAAGCTGAGGCTCTCTCAAACTTTAAGTGCAAAGTGTCAAAGTAGATAGAGCTTAGCGAACGATCGGCTAGCATCTTTTCATGCGATACAGCCTAAATTGACGCTCCAAAAGGTTTGTCGTCTTCAGTTGTCACCTAGGGTGGATAAGAAACGTCTGGCAGACTTCCACGTGTCTTGTTCTTTTGTTGATTGACTGAAAAGTGGAGGCTAATCAGTCAACTTAAAAGGAAGAACGAGGCTGATAGTGTTGACTGGTTGTGGTGCAGAAGTGGGCATGCGCTGGCTGTCGCTGCCGCATTCCATTCGCTACTGCTTTGTCTGGTAACATATGTCATCGGAGATCCCACACTGATAATGATCTGACTGCGGGGTGGCAAGCAATGAAGTATTCAGTCTCATGTTGCAAAAGTACCATGCGGGCCATCCTTCGTCCGATGGTTTTCGCCATCCAAGAGCTGGGCTGCTTACATGTGGGGAAGTGCAGGCAGCAATTTTGCTGCCTTCGTCCTCGTCCGCGTCAACGACGTTTATGCGGACATGCTTGAAACCTTTGAACGTGACAATCTATATACCTAAGACTTCGAGGTACTTTCCTAGGTACATTCATTTTCACTGATTGGATTCATAAGAGCTGGTCCTGCAATGTCTGAACCGACCGCAAATCCAGGGGCCGGTGCCTCCCATGGCTCTCAACGTACGACAGCTTCACGAGCTAGAGCCCGAAGCAATCCAGCTGAAGATTCAAAGTGTTTGAAAGCCTTCGACACCGAAATAAACTACGCTCTTCAGAAAGACAGAAACGATGCCTGCGCAGAAGGCACTGGCCAGTGGTTCTTCCACCACCCGGTGTATGAAGCCTTCCAACGTTCCAAAGAACCGCACCTGCTGCTCGTCACCGCAGAGGCAGGAGGTGGAAAGTCGACTATCATGAGAACGCTCATTGATACCATTCAAGCGACCGACGAGCCTCCACTAGTGTCTTACTTCTTTTTCAAGGATGACGACGACAGCCTACGCGGCTACGATGATGCCCTCAGGACGGTGGTTTATCAATTGCTATCGCAGGATAACACACTTGCTCAGCATGCTCGGGAGCCGCATAAAGAGCACGGAGACGCAATCGAGCACAAAACCGAGACCATGTGGCAGATCATCACAAGAATAGCCGCCGAAGTGAAACGCGATGTCTATTGCATTTTTGATGCAGTCGATGAGTGCGCTGGAGAAGGCCGAAAGCGATTGTTGGCTGATCTAGCAAGTGTATTTGGCGATTCTCTTCAGAAGTCTTTTCGGTTGAAGGTGGTCATATCTTCTCGTCCATGGAAAGAAGAAACCCATCTGTTCACTGAACTATTGGGTTCTCCAAGGTCCAGTCATCTAGTGGGCGAAAATGCCACGGTTCAGTCTGACATTCGCAGTGTCATTCGACTGAAAGTCAAGGAAATAGCCAAGGAGAAGGATTTCGACGGAAAAACTGAAGCTTTGCTTTTGGAAAAGCTTAGCAGGAAGAACGTGCGGACAAGGTCCTTCTTGGCCATTCGAATGGCGTTTGAGATGCTGCGATCAGATGCGAGAATGAACCGAGAGGCGGCAGAAGAGGTCATTGACGAAATTCTTGCCGGTGTCCCCCAACAACTTGGGGACCATTTCAACAACATGTTGAACCACAGCCCAGACAAGGAACACGCTTGGAGGCTTCTCTGCGTTATCCTCGTAGCGCGAAGAACAATCAAGATACCAGAGTTCAAAGTCATTTATGCTCTCACACAGAGGTCATGCAGCAACCTTGGTGTGGCGAAGTCGTATGACGAGCTCGATCTAACAGCCGACGACGAAGAATTCAAGAGCATGGTACGGGCTCGATGTGGCCTGTTTATTACTTTTGGCAAGAACTCGGTCTACTTGTTTCATCAGACAGCGAGGGAGTTCTTGATAACCAAAGAAAACATGTCTGTGGCTCCGCCCTTCGCTCGATTGGCACAGAATTCAGGCAGCCTTGACGCGAACGACGTAGCTTCGTGGAAAGGCTGTATTTCGAAGGAAGATGCCAACCTGGTCTGCGCCACTGTCTGTCTAGACATTCTGAACATGGACATATCCCGACAGCGGATACTGGAAATGTGAGTTTCTAGTCTGTGACCGAAGGTTGAAAGTAGGACACCTCAGCTAATCGTTTCTCTATTCCAGATTCGACACTCTTAACGCCGGAAACGGTATGTTTTACGACATAAAAGACTTTGTGTCACCACGCCCATTCTTTATGTACGCAGCTTTTAACTGGCATGAACATATCATTCTTGGCGGTGATGGCGCTTCAAAGACTCTTCTTGAAGATAAGTATTGTGCAATTCTAGACATTGGCAAGCCCGAATTCTGGGCTTGGTTGCTTCCCCTCAATGAGTACATCACCACCAGCACTGTTCATCCAAAGGCAGTGATCTCCAGTGTCTGGGCACTAGACGAGAAGGAGCGTCGGCACAGAAACCAATATGGACCCTTTCTGAGAGAAAGCTGTCTGCAGAAGCTCTTTCCAATGGGTGGCAAGGCCCATGCTCTATTCAAAGACGTATCGCTAGTGTCAACGTAAGTGGTTTTAAGGGAACGCGGTATTTTGCTAATGTATCACTAACAGACGTCAATAGATCGCAGGCTGACGGTCCTCGTTGGGAAGCCGAGGGTGGCTTTGAACTTGTTGATGCGTTCCACATGGCTTTCGGAGACTATGAAATGATCAGTGCCAATCAAGCAGTCCAGGCACTGGAGCAAGGCGATACGAAGCGAGGCTCAATGCTCTCAGCACATGCTCCGATTCCGACAATGATCTGGACATGTATCACAGATATTTCGCCGAATGCTTTTCGCACGACTTTGGCTTCCATGAAGGATCTGAATTGGCTGCGCGACGTACCAGAACACATCTTATTCCGCCGATATAGATGGAGCGGATGGTGCTCCCGGACTGGGAAGGAATTGAGAGAGGACCGTCAAAAAGGTTGGTCAAAGCCCTGGCCCCCTTCTACCCCGACGATATATGTGGCGGGTCAGAACACATCACCGGAAAGCACCGACCTGTTTGGTGCGCTGGCGGACTGGATAGAGTTTTCAGAAAAGGCCGCAGGCTTTGCGCAGGAGCTGTGGGAAGCAGGGGGGTTCTTGGTCCCCTGTCTGTGCAGCAGGCTCATCCAGGCCGGAGCAGATGTTGACTGTAAATTGTGGAATGACGGCAAGACCGCCCTGCAGATTGCAGCCGCCCTTTGGGAGCACGACTTGATACGAATCCTTTTAGATTTGGGAGCAGACCCTGCCGTATGCTCTTCCAATGGCTACACTGCGTTGCATTGGCTGCTTCATCCCGACAAAGCCTTCAAGCAGCTCAACGAGGCACTGAGAGAGAACCCAAAGCGTCAACCGCGCCATCGAAAATCTCGGATTTCAACATCAGTAAAATCCCTAGCACGATCAGCTTCAACCGACACATCAGCAATCGACGTACTATGCGGAAACGGGAAGACGCCCCTGATGCTTGCTGTAAGAGAATCCCCAACAGCGACTAGGACCCTCTTGGACGAAGGTGCAGAGCCTGACAAGCGAGATGGTAACGGCCGAACTGCGCTCATGCACTATTTCCTGTCTGGTTTTAATGGCCGTGCAACATCCACCTTGAATTGCCTTCTGCAAGCGGGATCGGACAGTCTTGCGGCCGACTCATCCGGAAGAACGGTACTCGATTACTGGGCACGACGCGTTACCAACAAACAACTTTCTTACCTTTACCCCGGTACCAACTCTTACAACAAAGCTTTCCATGCATTAGCCACCTTCGGCTCACTCTCTGAGCGAGACGTCATCGTCCGGGAGCTAGCCAAGGAAGTTATACCACTCGTGGTAGCGGCAAGACTTGGGAACGCTCAGTTATGCTGGGCACTTTTGGAAGGAGGAGCAAATCCCGACAAGCACGGAGTCCCTATGAAAAGCCAATTGAGTGAAAACAGCGGGAGCGTGTCTTCGGACTTGGAGGACCTGGTCTGGAATCCTGTTTTGGTCGCATTGTGGACCAAAGCGTACGTGACCACCGCAATCCTGCTGGCATACGGAGCGAATGTCAAGTTCCAAGTTCCCACGCGTAAGCGGACCAAATGGAACCGATGGAGAGTTAAAAAATCAGGTATCACGCCGCTCCATTTGGTCGTTGGCGGCAATGACCGCTACACTTGGGGTGGTGACAGTAAGCTGGCGCTCTCCAGTGGCGGACAGGATGAAGGGTGTGCGTTTGGTGCAGCAACAAACCCAGATTACCCAGTCACGCACCGATCAGCCATGGAGTTCTTGGCGAAGCACCAAATGGATCACTGGGCGAGACATCGCGCGAGAGAGAATGCCGAAGCGAGTTCAGATGTGAGATATTCCTCGTACATATGATCACAAAGACGGCGCTAACCTTGCACAGTCTGAATATGAAATCAAACGAGCTCCGCCATCAAACGATAGTAAAAAAGCAGAGATGGTCCCATTTGACACTCTCTTTGGCGCAGAATTCCTGCCGAAACCTCATAATGCAATCAATTCACTTCTTGAGGTCATCATCAACAAGAATCAGACAGCCGAGGAGCGTCGTGCGGCATTGGCAGAGTACATGCTACAGAATGGTGCCGCCGTAAATGCAACAAGTCAGGAAGGCATCACTCCATTGTTCATCGCCGTCAGTCAAGGTAAACTGGATTTCGTGAAACTTTTACTGCAGCACGGCGCCGACCCAAACCTTGCAAGCAAGGGGGGCTGCAGGCCCTTGTTGACAGCAGCACGGAACGGCAATGAACCCATCACCGAAGCGCTTCTTACCTCAGGAGCCGATCCAAATGCACAGCTTGATAATCTCCCGCCAGGAGAGTGTACTTGCGTCGCTTTCGTCACGTGGAAACGTTTTTCTCATGACGCCTGTTACGCACCTCTTAACTCTCTAGCGATAGCGGCAGAGCGTGGGCATATCGATGTCGTGGAGACCTTGCTGGCACACGGGGCGGATGTGAATTTGCCTATCGTGCATCATGCACACGGTCGATTGCCAACTAAACGCGAGCAGAGGCGCCGTGAGCTGGATCACACGCCAGATTCTTCGGATGCCGAGTCAGACTTAGATATGGAGAGTTGGGAAGGACGCATTAGCGTTGGAACCGCGCTGACATGGGCTCGAGGGGAGGTGCGGGATCTACTTCTGCGACATGGTGCGGACGCCGCCATAGAGAAGGCGCCACGGAGATGCGAATGTCCGACCATTCAGAAGCGAAAACAGAGAAGCGGTTTCGGTCGAGACTCTGATGACGAATATCCCACAGACGAAGAGAGCGGCTCTGATACAGACTTGCCATGGCGAAGACGCCAGTCTTTTATTAGGAAAGACAGCGACGATGGCAGCTCTTAGTATTGGTGGCGTTACTGCAGACGTAATCCAGAGCACAAGGACTGCTCTTACCGTATGGCCGATTGAGGTTTAACAAGTGGGTACTCTGGCAGGATAGGAGAAAACAGAAGAGCCGTACATCGCCCCATAAGATTACAGAAGGAGGATGTCACACACCGAACTCGAGATCCACCTTTTGATGGCCGTAGCAACGAGGATATTGGGACTTCAAGGGTCAGTGCCAGAATTCAAGAAATCGCAGGGTTTGACGTGATATTCGGTGTAATGGGTGCGAAGTCTCATCATCATTCATGGCCGTAATCTGTACACACTGTCGCTGGTCCGGAGATCTGATCCCCGCTTCACCACTTAACTCCGCAGACGGGAAACAGGATTCGTCCGATGGATAGCTTAGGTGACGGACAGTCTCAGTGCGAGACGTCTGATGACATCAGATGGCATGTTATCATTAGCTTTCGATTGAACTTTCCTTGAGAAATAGGTGCCGTTCGAGAGGTCAGGGTAATGCTTCGCAAGACTATCGAGCTATGGCTCAGTTGAAACTTCTTTCACTCCTGGGTGAAGGTTCTCCAGAATGGTGGCTAGTAATATGCATCAGTCGTAATTATCTTTTACAGGACACCAATCATATTAGTTCAACGGTCCACTGTCGCATAGACCTTCTAGATCAAGGTCGACGACAGGATCAGTAATCGTCAAAATGCCATACATCAAGTCGGTGCCGCCGGTAGAGCTCACCGAAAAGTGGATACACCGGGGCTGGAATCGGCATTCACAACCCGGCGCGTATTCGTATCGGGCTTGACAGAGCGCCCGAATCATGTTTCGGTCCATTTCTGCGCGGAATAGTCAGACGTATTGGAGTTCTTGTGAGACTCTAGACTTCCAGAGTCAGGTTCCGATGAATTAGTCCCTGTTCGACAACCATGAGGAAAATTCGGATTCGCTTTGAGACAGGTATTTAAAGATGAACTCTGTGGCTGTTGGGATGAACCACGAACCAGAACCATCAAAGCAATATACTTCTCCGAACCGCCATCATTCGCATCATTTGCAAAATGGATGTCACGAATAGTCCGGAGGCCTCGTTGGCTGCGAACTATCCTACTGGGAAAGCGGATGGTATTGAGGCGCTGTTCAAAAGCCTGCCATACTTGCTCGTCTTGATTATTCTCTGCGCTTCTTCTCTGATCCTGAATAAATCCAAACTCTCAAAGTTTCCGGACGTCACTGTCTCGACCTCCATATTTGATCTTGGTAACTCAAAGGCTAGAAGGCAGTTTGTAACTGACGCAACAAGACTGATCAAAGATGGCTTTGCTAAGGCAAGTAGTGAAAAAACCGCTGTATTTTTCTTTTTTTTTAGTAAACTCTAACAACAGACGCTTCGTGTAGGTTGGCAACACCACACCTTTCCGCATCATCGCTGATGTGGGCGAAATGGTCATCCTCCCTCCAGAGTTTGCCGACGCTATCCGCAACGATACTGACCTCGATTTCATGACATTTGTCAATGGGGTTTGTCATACTGTAGCCACTTCTTGCGAATTGACTAGCTGACCGTTCCTTAGCAATTCCACTCAGAGATCCCTGGATTTGAGGTTTTTAGAGAGGGAACGAAGACCACTCTGGTGACCGATGTCGTCAGGGTCAAGATCACGCAATCTCTTGGTGAGCAAACTGCATTGCAACTAGCACGAGGAGCAGCGCGTATTGATCCCAAATAATAGGCAAGGTTACTGAGCCGCTGGCCGATGAGTGTGATCAGGCTAGCCGACAAGTCTTCGGGGATTCCAAAGGTAGATTGACTCTCCCCTTTTGCGATGATACAATGCCGCTTATCTACTAATTACTGACGCCTCGTAGAATGGAAGGAGTTCGTGCTTAAGCCAACCCTCTTGGATTTTGTTGCTCGCATTTCAGCTCGTGTGTTCCTTGGCGAAGAGGGATGCCGCAATCCCGCTTGGTTGAAGATTACCAAGGAGTACACCGTCGACGCCTTTATCGCTGGCGTAAAGCTCCGAAAGTACCCTCCTGGTATCCGTCACGTCATTCACTGGTTTTTACCCCAATGCAAAGCTGTCCGCGCACACCACGGCGTCATCCTAGACGAGATTGATGAAATCATCGAAGACCCAGGGAGGATCCCATCAGGACACATATTCCAGCCACCGGATCCAGACGCATTCTACAAGTTCCAAAAGTGGACTGCAGCCATATCAAAGATCCTAGTTGCAAAATATGTCTGGGGCACTACATCTATCTCTTCGGCACGTGCTATTGAATCCTAAACCTCCCATCCAGGGGGTATTGATTAACAGTAATACTAAGCCAGAGATTAGACATGGTGGATTCATCCTTGCCCTGAATTCGAGCATATACAAATGCACCAGCCGGCGCCCTCACTCAACCAACGCGAGCGCACTATTCACCCTATTGTTCCCCTCGAGACCCGCAGGAGACCGGTTCTCAACAAATCTCAACTCGACACCCGGCCGGAACACTAAACAATGCGAACTCCCCCCAAAATGAAACATACCAATCTCCTGTCCCTTCATAACCTCCTCGCCAGCCCTTACAGTCACCTCGCAGCTAGACACCTCCGTCATACCCACAAACACGATCGCTATTAGCCCGATCTTCGGATTCCGCGCCTGGATATATACTACCGCCCGCGTCGCCACAGAAGCGGTGTACGCCTGCGACCTACACGGCGCCTGCGGATCTGGACCATCTGTATTATCATTGTCGTTCTCACGCGCAGCTATGCCCTGGTACCGGTTCACGCTGAAGTACGTCCCCGGGATCATCTCTATCTCGATGATCCGGCCGCTCACGGGCGCATGCCAGCGGTGGTAGCTGAAGGCGCTCAGGTAGGCCTGGTAGATCGTTCCGCCGACAAACTGCGGCGCGAGCGCGTTATTGTTTAGCATGTCGGTAAGGGAGTACGGCTGGCCCTTTAGAGTGACGTCTGCTCGTAGGGCGACATCGGATACGACTTGCAGCGGCGTCGCCTCGCACGCGTTGACGATGACCGAGGTGTTGTCATCGACTCGAATGTCAACGGTGCCACTGCTGCCCGTGACAGACAGCCTCTCTCCGCCAACATATTCCTCATCATCAGGGAACTCCACATGCCGCACCCCCTCCCGAAACCGCCTCACAAAAAACGCATCCCACGATTCATACCCAAGAGTCTGAGTATCCTCAGGGTCAGGACAAACAAACAACTCCCTAAATCCTAACCCACCACCCTCCCCCCCCCTCCCCAACTCTTCCATTCGCCCTCTCCGCCATCACAATCTGCCCAGAAGCAGACACCCAAGCCCTCAGACAACCCCTCGAGTCCCCCGAAGCAAGAAACTCGCCCCAAGCACTTAACACCTTGCCCATCGCCTCATTTACCTCCGACCTCCGAAAGAACTCGTAGCCGGCCGCCGTGCCCATGGGATAATTCAACAAGGCATTAATCGGCGCCGCCACGAACCCCATGGCGTCCTCGTTTCCCGGCCTGTCGAAGAATTGCGGCCCGGAGCGCATGATAACGTTGACGACTTGCAGGAACTGGCGGAAGGACTGGACGGCGGGTTGCTCTGTCGGGTCGCGGAGCTGGAGGGCGGCGGCTTGGGTGAACATTTGGTCTGCTAGGGCGGCGAGGTAGGGATCATTTTGGACGACGGCCCGGAGGTTGGTGAGGCTTGGGTTTAGGGAGTCGACAACGGTGGTGGTGGCGGTCTTTGAGTCGAGGGCAGGAGTTGTAGTTGTTGTTTGATGGATTTTGTGGGCGAGCCATTTTTCAGGGTTGGGGGCATCTTGGTGGTTTGATGGCTCGAGGCTAGGTTCGGCGTCCTTGTTGGACTTGAAGCTGTTGATGAGATAGTAAAGCATGATGGTGATGTCGATGAGGTGCGGCCTTTGATAGTAGATGATTTCAATGGCCAAAAAGCACGTAGCCAGCGAGATGCGATGATCGAGGTAAAGTTGCCTGGGAACAAAAGTTTATGCAAGAGTTGCGATAATTAACGCGTACTACTGAACAAGACGATCCTTATGAGTAAGATCTTGTGCCCTAGATTCAACTCCGCTCTCTCACAAGCAACTAACGTATCTGGCAAACGGCATGAGACACAACCCACATGTCTTACCGCGGGAGCGCAGGATGCCGTCAGATCGTCCAATCGGAGGACAACCGCAGTCAGGAGCTGAGGCTGGGGTGACACGATTTGCACAGCTATTGACACATCTGGTGTCAACTTTCAGACCGGTCAAGCAAACGTCTCAACGCAGCTTCCAAGTTCCTCTCCCTTCACCGCCATGATGACTGAGCGGCCCCTTCAGTGCTCACAAAAGTTCCACTCCGTTGTCGTCATCACCCCCATCCCCTGCTCGGCAATCGTTGTCCTCTTCTCCATCAAATCAGCCCGTATCCTCTTGGCCTCCCCGATCCCAATCGGAAAATCCATATTATCAAACAGCATATCCGTAACCTCGCGCGGCAACGTTCCCAAACTGTCTCCCAGCGCCACACCCTTTGCTGCGGCGGCACATTCGCTGTACTACTGGTCGGAATCCTCGGGTCCACGAGGAACAGCGCGAGGATCTTGCGGTAGCCCGCCTTAGTCTTATGGCAATGACGCGCGTGGGCATTGCCTTGGATCTTTGGACTGCGCAGACGTTGTGAAACTTGCGGCATTCATGAGAACTGGCCAGGGATATGTGCACGTTGGAATCCGAGTCTGAACTGATGCATCGTTCGGGATAGATAATGAAGGCAGCTGTTCCGTTCAGCCTTCAGGTCATTAATGTAAACATAGAAGAAGACCCACACTCAAAGTACTCACGCGTACCAAGACAGCCTGGCTGTCACCTGAAATCCGGATATGTTGGTCTCTTCCATATCGTTGAATCCTGCACGGAACTGGCCGACGCTTATCTATACGCCGCCCCCTGAAATCTCTTCCCCATGTAGCCAGATACCATGGTACCAGGCTCCTTCGCGAGACTGTCTTGGCCTTTTGCCGTCGAGAAGATCGGAAATGACCTGACGCTCGTTTTCATCTTGTAGCCTGGTGAAGAAGAGGGCGCATAGGGGGCAGCTGTTATCAGGGCCCTGCTTAAGGGACTTCAGGTTGGGGTGGAACCGAAAATCGGTGTTCGATACATCGTCGATGGTCAGCTTCGCGCAGATCTCGCAGTGCGACATGATTAAATCGATGTAATCTTGCACGCCTGCCTCAGCTTTGAGCGAAGTAAAAGTGAAATATGGCATCTTTTCACACAAGGCTGGGGGCGGGGACGCGTCTTACAGGCGGATATAGCGGCGATGCCAGCAATTGCATGTAACTGAGAAAGCCGATAGTCTGACCTGAATATGCAATTCGCAGCAATGTGCACGATGGCCTGTTGAATGAGACGCAAATCTACCATCACTGTGATATTTAGGTACGAAGACCACGTAGTTAGATACCTATTGAGTTTGTGATGACAGGCACGCAGATTATATGTAGGCCCAATTCAACAGGACAGATACGGAACACATTCCATCACTACTACTGGACGGATATCTCCGAGATGCTGGGTCCCTATTAAAAGTGGTATCAATAACGCATTCAACTTTTCTTGAGAATCAAGACTCACCATCATTACTAGGGTTCTCCGGGCGATCTTCCACGTTCCGTCTACTCCTCGCTCCATTTTGTCGACATATCGTCCGTAACTATACAAGACCTTGTCTAAACCAAAGGTATCCGAAAGATTTGTCGTTCCCGCCATGAAATGAGATGCAGTCAAATACGTCAGTGCAACAGCGGTATTTTCTGAGCACACTTCAATAAGCTGAGTGCCGTAGCCATGGTGAGTGCTGGCAAACATGCCCAGTCCTTGAGAGATGGCTGCTGTGATGCTGTCTGAGCCAACGAGGTCGCCCAAGGGAGGCGGAAAACTGGCGGTGGCGTTGGCTGCGAAGATACTGTCAAGTTGACTCCAGTCCCTCCCATCGATGGCTACCGGATATCGAGCGAGCAGATGCTGGATGGAATAAACAGCTGTCAGGTACTCAAGGCTCCCAACTGGTGGTCGTTGACAGGTTTGACCGCAATCAAGAATCGGAGTGATTGGTAAGCCATTGCTAGAGGCAGCGACTACGCCAGTGGTGATCGAGGCAAGGGGGAGGAATTTGACCATTGCGGATTATTCGGCGCGGCAGAACAGGGATGCATCCGAGCACTTCTTGGTGAATCCTATCTGGGAAGGTTCGCAGACTTTATATAGCCGCCCCCTGTGTAACATCGCTGTTCGTAGCCGCAGCTGAACCCCGTTACGCCACTCCAATTGGGGCAGGCTCAATAAAGGTACGCCAAGACCGGGCAGTGTGAGACCTCCAAGACGAGGGCGATTGACGAATAGGGAGACTGGTCTGATTTGTCATCTCTGTGCTACTGTTGCAAGGCTTTGAGGGGGAAGTTGACTGACATGCATGTTACGATCGAAGCGCCCGGCCGGCCCGGCACGGCGTGTCACACGGAGGCGGATGAACTCTTCACAAACCTTCCCGAGTCGAGGCCCGAGAGTGGGTCTTAAGCCCTGTGTTCCGGCAGTCCGACGAGTAGTTGAATTAGCAATGGTCCATGGAGCGGATGTTATTTTTTTCCCTTTCGCACGGCACGGCGTTGAGAAAGAAGTGAAGACAGGCGAGAATCTTGGACATAGTGGATGCAATAACATTCGGGGTCCATTGTATTTACATCACCAGCATACCCTGGTTTCCTTTCGCAATACAAATTCACAGTCCTTCAGTTCGCTCCAATGCTTTGTCAAAGTGCGGTCAAATATTTGAGAACGTAGTTATATTCATTTAAGCCTTGATCTAAAGTGGTAGAGGCTAAAAGCAATCAAAATATCCAATCTTCATCGTCCCATTAGATTACCAACTACTGCACGTGAGCAAACCAAACACTACCAGGACCAAGACAGTAAGTAGTGTTGTAAACACTACAAGCACATGTCCAACATTTACTGGTACTGGGCGCGGTAGGTATCCCAGTAGCTGTAGATACGGCTCTGCTGTCCGTTGGAGAATCCGGTGAAGCACTCACTGGTGAGAAGTTAGCTCTTATGTGGTAAAATGAACTTGATGGTTACTTACTCGTCGGAGTAGTTCATGTAGTTGGTAACAGAGTCGGTACCAGCAGAGTTGGGGCAGGTGTCGCGACCGATCTGGCAACCGTAGGACTCCTGTTGTGACTTGTTAGCCGATGATCACTCAATCCGGCATATTGCACTGGGGATATTTACCTCGGCCTCGTAGGGGGTGTCATCAACAGAGTCGCCATCACCGCTGCAGGCGTAGCCCTGGAAGGTGTGGAAGACTGCCTTGAATTAGCTAATGCTCAATGTGTGCAGTGCTCGCCTTTAAGTGATAACTTACGTCCAAGCCAGTGACCGATCTCGTGAGTGGCAGTGTGACCAAGGCTGTACTCCTCGTAGCTGCCTCCCGGGACCGTAGTGGAGAGAATGACAACGCCGTCGCGGTTGAAATCAGCAGATCCGGGGGTGATGGTCTGGGGGAAGCGAGCATAGCCAAGGTAGCGCGAGCTAGCGACGAAGTACACGTTCAGATCAGCGTACGTGCCTTTGCGAAGAGCGGTCTTCATCGCGACCTCAGCACGGTCAGCAGCCCAGTTAGAGTTGACAGTCCAGTCAGCGCCAGCCTCGACAAAGGAGATGTCGTGGGGGGCATAGGCGGTGTTGAGCACGGCAAGCTGCTCATCCAGGGTAGCCTGGGTCAGGTAGCCGCCGCTCACGGACTGCGAGGAGGCCACGACGTGCCAGTAGACATTGATCTGGATGGGGCCGGCGGCACGGGAGCCGTTGCCGGCAAGGCGGGCGCTAGACTCCATGAGCTTGAAGTCCTGGGCGACCTGGAGGTCGACCTCAGTGGGCTCGTCGGTTCCGCAAGTTCGCTTGGCGAAGGCGGATGCCACCATGGAGGCGGCGACCAGGAAAAACTTGAGCTGCATGATGAAGAGAGTGCCGAGAAGATGGGAACGGAGATGAGAGGATTGGAATGCCGATGGTGAGAGCAATGGCTGTAATTCTGGCGGTCTTTCACGAGTCTTTATACATCTCGATCATCGGGGCGCTGAATTCTACAAAGTGGCGGGAAGATGGAATGAAGCGCCATCTCCCAACTTCGAACTCCCTCTTCTGGTCGCTCCGCCAAACGATAGACCATTCAGCGGTCGTGAACATCGCGTTCGTGGAGGAGATAAACTTGACAGCCGGCATCGGGTTGCATTTGCCCGGGATTTGACTCGTGAAGTTCAGCTACCTGCTCGATTCGTCCAAGACGTCATGCGACGGGACGGAGCTCAAAAGCTCGATTTTCACATCTCAAATTGAAAGCTGGAAAATGCCATGCGCTGCCAAGAGGTTTTGCTGGTTAACCTGCCTTAAATGTGATTCTAAAGCCGCTGAAGAGGGTCCTGGTGCCTTGGCAATTACTACCTCGTATTACAATCTCCTCCCTAAGACCCCTGCTCATCAGAGTAGTTTATCTAAGCGCGTCGGCTGTGCGCGGTGCAGCATGCAGCGCCATTCGGTACCTGTCGACGCGCGGGATACGCGGGACATGGACCAACAGCAGATAACATGATCGTTGATTAAGGCATGACACCTTGAAGATGTTCACAAAGTACACTTAAGACCGTCTTCTGTGGCCTGAATTTAGGCTGTCCACAGCCGCTCGTTTTGCGATTCTTTTCAGAGCAGCATCCTCCTTCTCAGTCTTATCTCGCTTACAACCCTCCGCAGCTGGCCCGAGCACTTCGACTAGGGCATAATTTGGCATGCCGTATTGACCTGCTAGAGGCCAAGGTCGTCGATCATATCGGCGGTTGCGAATCGCGATGTTGTCGTCTGTGTATTTTCTCACAGCTTTAGGGATGCCCTGACCATCATGTCGACTTTGATGTTCCAAGACTTTGATAAGGTCCACGAATATTGTTGTCGATGGCAGCTCAATATTGAAGTTCTGTAGTGAACTGAGAGAGTCCTGCATGTCGTGGCTAACGATGCAGATTACGTACTCAGCCGCCAATTGGGAAAAAATCTCTTTGACCTTCTCTTTCGCGTCGTCGTAGTAATGTGAGAGCTCCTCAGTGGAGTCGTAGCGGTAATGCCATGGCTTCGGTCGGAGTCTCTTGTTGACCTTGGACTTCTCCAGCACGATGATCTTTTTCTTGCAGCACTGCCTTGTGGGGTGTTGCTTGCTGGATTTGGAGCCCGAGAGTGGATTCGCAGTTGGCGAAAGAATGTCCAGCTCCATGAACGGCGTTTCCGTGACGGAGACATGCGCGCCTACAGGTTCGCAGCCTACAATGACGACTTGGTCACTGTTCCAGCACTCTGCAAACGTCCCATTTTCTTTGGCGCACTCTTCGACTCTTCGCAGTTCACCCTTGGTGAGAAGGTGTGGCGTTTGGTGTGTCATCGTCCTGAGCGGCGAGTTGTAATCTTGGTTTCGATAAGTTCTCAAGTTTAAATCCGGCAAGTTTGATTTTGTTCGGAAAGAAATCTGGTTCAGTTGAGGTAAAGATGATACTGCCAGCTTGCACTAGAAATACAGAAGCAAATGTGGCTGTGCTTCTTTGTGGTTACAACAGCAAGAACACGAGTCGGGTTTTACCGGGGTTTGAGTCACTCGGGGAGGCAAAGCGTTTCAGCCCGCCGTGGACTTTATGGCACAGAGTGGCGCATTTCCACAAGGAAGTTGGCAAAACCCTTGATCAATATCACTGGGTATTATTGTTGACTGTTGGCCGAGGATACGAAAGAGTTGAACGTGAACATGACCCATTCAGACCCTGGTGCCGACTGAAACCTGCGCCCTACGGCGTGTCTAGCAGCTTCACAGGGCGCCGATCAATTCTTCAACTCCACAACAGTAGTAATCTTCCGCTGCCAATCTTTTGATCCCATCTGCTTCTTTTACACCGCGTTTTCATGTTCGCGCAGGCGTCAATTCCATCGATAGGCGTTACAAGGCCCCTTCTGTCACCATACTCCTCAAAAAAGAATACTAGCCCCCACAAGAAGTCCTGAATATCTCTAGCCATCTCAGTAAAAACATGAATTGTCCGAATGATTATCGAAGGTGGGTGGATTGAGTTGTACATTGGAAGCTGGCACCGGAAGTCTTGACCATGCAGAATCAGGCTGATCTTGGTTCTGGTTCGTATGGCTCAGAGCTTCTAGGGCGCTCTTGTAAATGATGGTCAAAGCTTCATAAACAACTTTCCCATCATGTTTTGGCTTGTTTGTCTCAAACGACATCCAAAAATTCTTCAACAGCTCCATGTCTTGCTGAGCGCCAGGCGTCTGCCTATTCAGCACGATGCTTAGAAGCAAGCCGTCAATACTCCACCCGAGGTCATGGCACATATCCCTTGATGTCCACGATTAGTGTTGGGCGACTGTGTTGTCCCAGTTGAAACTTACAACATGAACGGATGGCTTTTTTCCGTCTGCATAGAAAGAGAGAGAATGTTTCACGCGGCAGAGGCGCACTCATTCACTACCTTTATCGTTATGTCGCGGATGGCGGGGTCGCTAAAGTATGGAATGTGGCAGAATATGGAGGAGTGGATGGCGATTATTGTTTGGAAGTAGCTGCGATGCAGAGAGGTAATCTGCATCATATGGGAAATTGGCGAGTCTTCTGCTACACTTGGAGGCCTAACAGACGCAGGCAGGTCATTTGCCCATTGCTGAAGCTCTGAAAGTAATTTCGAGGTGGCCTTCAGATGGTTCTGACCGCCCTTTGCGGAAGGCATTGTCGTCGCACATTTTGGCCTGTATCTTGGCAAGAAGCACTTGCTGCCGTAGATAGTTGAGGCTGCGACCTTCTGGAAGATTGATGACTCCATAATGGTCAACGGGATTTTCATCAGGCAAACCAACGACTAGCTTTAGAGTCAGAAGCGGAGGTTTAAACACCCGTAGTGACAGGCGTTGGTCCATAACATAAGCCCTGTAAAGAAGCCGGCTTTTGTGGATCTGGTCGGTCGATGGAGCTCCAGAGGAAGATGCGGCCACATGGTATCCAGCCAGCAACATCATCTGCGTTACTGACCCAAGTAAAGTTGCAGCTGCAGAGCTTCTGGACGTTGATTCAAGATAGGTCGTCTAACAAGCCTTGTTTTAGTTTGTGTTCAACAACATGGCGTTTGACGCAATTGCGGACCATCAGGAGCAGCGTGCCCACCGCTAATGTGTCGGGGACTTCCATCATGATGCTGGGCAGCACTCGCATGGCGTTCTCCACAAGCCTCTCTGTAATCGCATTTTGGGCGCCATGCAACGTCCACGAGGCGCATGAACACACCATGCTAATGGCTGCTTAAGCCCCTTGAGTTGGACAAGACTGCCCTTGGACATAACTCTGGAACACGCCCTCAATGTCCTCATTTCGGAAGAACTGGAAGTCATTGTTGACCGATTCTAGGAAGACTGGGTGACATTAGACACGGTAGTAAGTAACCAAGGATGAGTGGGCCTACTCTTGAGACACTGCAGTGCTGTGTCTAGCATGGGAATAGGATGCATCGGGCCACCTGAAAGATTAAGTGCAGGGAAATTTGGATGAACCGCTTTGCTACACAGCTTGCTAAATGTGTGGTTGCCAATCATGTAATCTACGCATTCAATATGATGGACGTCAAAAATGGCGCATGAGCCTGTGCTTATTGTTAGCCCGATTGCTAGCCCGCACGAGAAAGGGAGTCGTCATGAATTATGCGGTCAACCAGCAACCTACTCGGTATCGGAACTTAACAACCGGCTGATCGGGTACCCCTATCCTAGCCATCGGTAGTGCGTCTCGGCGGATGAGACGGTACAACACATCGTGGCTGGTTATGTACGACTCTTCGCACAGAGTATCAAACCCCAGGTGGGCAAGTGGAGAGACATGCGGATGTCTCGAGTCCGATGTATGAGCGACGTTCTCAACCGCGTTGCTGGGTGCCAAGCTCTGCACCATCTGCTCAACCTGCTGTAGTCTCCGGATCATACGAGCACGAGAGCTGGAACCCGACCTGTTCTAGTGCGTCAGACACACGTCCGTGGAATCATTAACGGTGAGCGAGCGATACTTTCTACTGGTGGGCGCGCGGAGCCGAGTGTGGGAGTAGACGCAGTCCAGCTCCTTCGCCACACAAGTCGAGCATGCAGGCAGGGTTGAGTCGCATTTCACCTGCACGCCCCGTCAGCCGTTGCGCCACCGATGGCGCGTATAAAGCGAGCGAGAATACCTTTCTCTGCCTGCACGGCGTGCAAGCCCATCTGGACCGCTCCCCTGACGGTTTGGGGATAACTGTTTCTGTCGGTGTAGACATGTTCGGAACTTCGGGCGCGGATCATGAAGCTCGGAAAATGCGAAAGAAGAAAGGCGGATGGCGCAGCTTTCAATTGTCAAGCTCAGACTACCATAATTGGCATAATAATACAGGAGGCCCCGAGACTTTGCTGAAAACAAAGATCATTTCTCCATTGTGTTTGTTTCCACAAGGGTCCGATGTCCATTGATTGGGGATTTCTCGGTTCCCCGCAGATGTTCCGGCGCTCCATTTTGTGCCGAGCCGGTCGCCCCACACATGTTCCGGTCTCCGAGTCCCCGTCACATCGGCGCCGGGCACTGACGGCAGTGATTGCTTTGCTAAGGCGCAATGATTCTATTATAGTTATTCCGAACTAGGGCATGCGCGATCTTTCCGCTTGCTTTGTAAGGGGGGCCGTCTCTGTCGCAATGTTCTGAAGCGCGGTTCGGCGGAGGTCGTAAGCCAGGATAGTATATAATGCTCATGTAAATCAGGTAACTAACAACTATGGATTCACTGAAACTCAAAAGCTAAAGCATCGGTTCTGGCGACTTAGCCGCCATTAGAATGATCTCCAAAGCTGTTAAGGTTGCCGTTTATGGCGCCGCTGGCGAGTCAGCGGGTCTGATCGTAGATGCACGAGCTTCTCGCATCGACGACTCCATGCTTTGTACGTGATAACTTCCGTTATGTCATTGGTGGCGCACGATTGACACATGGGTGTTTGATATGTAAGCTAATGGTGTTGTTTAGGAAGTTACAGCTCTGGTCCGGCCCTCTTCAATTTCGAAGCCAGCCTATACCAAGCTGGCTCAACGCGGCGTCGAAATCGTAGCTATCGATCTGGAAGGACCAGAAGTTGACGCTGCCAGGATTGTAGAAGGCCAAGATATTGTCATTGCCTCTGTGCCCCCCAACGCGCTCGATTCGCAACTGCCCCTGATCCGAGCTTCCAAACTGGCGAACATCAGGCGGTTCATCCCAACTGCTTTTGCGGTGGCTCTTGACCCAAAAGGTATCTCTTCTGTGCAATCCATGGTACGTTCAAATCTTATTTTTCTGCCTTTCCAAGATGTGCCACAGTCTAGAGCACTCAATCAATCTCTCTACTACGTCTTGCATGTCCTTCGGACCTGTCACGGGCGCTGATTTCCCTACAGAAAGAGAAGTTCTACAAAGAGCTTGAATCATGCGAAATCACATACACCATCATTGACGTCGGGTGGTGGTATAATGGCTTCATACCCGAGGTGCCGTCCGGGAAAACTGATCATGCCATTGCGCTTCCGGACTTCCTCGGGAACTTGGTCCCTAGAGACGGAACAATGAAAACCTATGTGATTGACAACGAAGACGTCGGAAAGTTTGTCGCTCGCATCATCGTTGACTCCAGGACTGTCAATAAGCGGGTTGTGGCTGCGGGAGCAAGCATGTCTTTCAACGAAAGGTTTGCCATTGCTGAAAAGCTCACAGGCGATACTGTTACCCGAAAGCATGTATGTTATCAACTCCCAATCGTTGCTCTACCGTGACCTAACAACCTCTTTCATACAGGTTTCGGCAGAAGAGCTCAAGTCCATGATCGTCGGCGCAGCCTCTCAACTCCAAAGCAATTCGAATAACTATCTTTTACTTGTCAGCAAGCTGTGGCTGGAATATTACTACTCCTCTTTCATCGACGGCGACAATAGCCCGGAGGGCGTCAAGCGCTTGGGCTACATCATGGCTGGAGATCTGCACCCCGATTTCAAGCCGACCACCTTCCGACACTTCTTCCAAGAGACCTTAGATGGCAAGAGACGAATCCCATATTTTGCGAAATAAAGCGTGACTCAGCCTCTTTGTATCAGATTCATACAAAGTTTAGACGCACTGTAGAAGCGGTTTAGAGGCTAGGAATTAGAGACATTGTTGCGAATGTCAAAATTAGATTTCGCTCGACGCAATTCAAATCATACAATACACTAGACGTTATGGCGCAAATAGACTCCCAACACGACGTTCCAGTTTACCATGAAGAAGGGGTCGGTTTCTTTCATCCTTCATGGGCGAGCAGCCAATGTTGTGACCATGTTCATCTGCAGGTGTGCTAGCGCTTACTTGTGGCTTGAAACGCCTACCATCTTCAGGACTGCATACGCTTATATAATGCATTTAGCTCACATGAAGCCAACCTCTCTATATTAAGCGAGTTGCCCGCTTTTGGTCTCTGACCATGTATATGTACCAGGTCATCTTTTGCTTCTAATCGTCGCCAATCTGTGTGGCGCACCTGGCCCCCAGAGCATGCCTCAACCACCCGGCGCACGAATGATTGGCGGCCCTATGTCACGAAAACGCACCATTCAAAGTAGAACTAAGGTGAAAACTGGATGTGCAACATGCAGGTAAGACTCGAATCATACCGTCGGCGCTAGCCATAGATATCAGGGTCCAGCAAGGGATTCATCTTTGCGGTCATCTCACTAACTTGGTAACAGAGTAAGGAAGATCAAATGTGACGAGAACAAGCCCTCTTGCCACAGTTGAACGAGCACAGGCCGCACATGTGACGGTTATGAGTCTCCATTTCGACTCGTTTTGAGAAACCACACATCTCACTCGGCAGGTGCCAAGTTGGGTACGATTAGGATACAGTCCATTCGGCCGAACATAGCTGAGATTGAGATCACTCCCGAAGACGTTTTTCTTCTTGGCCGTTACTTCTCAACCAAGACCATCTTCGACGTGGACCTTGCCTGCGACAAAGAGGCTAAACAAATCCTACAAGCCAGTGTAACTGATCCATCAGTCCGATTGGCAGTTTCATCCCTCAAAATTCTTCGAAAGCATCTCGAGACTTGCGAAGATTTTGCCTTTTCCTCTCTAGGACAGAAGTCGGGTCGAGACTATGACCATGGAGTTCAGCAGTACTGCATGGCTTTAGGGGGCCTGGCGTCCAAATTGTGGTCTCCGGGCTCCGACGAAATAAGGTCGGCGTTGCTTTGCTGCCAAATATTCCTCAGTATCGAGCAGGTGCGCGGCAATTATTCAGCCGTAGCTCAGCATCTTGTTCAGGGACTCAGTATCATGCATGAATATCGGGCACGGCCATTGTTGATTGGGAGACACAAGTTGATACCGGCAAGCCATAGCAAGATTCCTTCACTCGACGTCTTCGTCCTCAAGCTTTTCATTGCACCATGCAAATTCGCAGACTCTCCGGCATCAGCAGACGTCAAGGAAACAGCCACGGGTGCATGGCCGATGTTGTCTCACCAACAGTCTGGAAAATCTGAATCTGTCCCTGCTCGTCCCATAGCACCCGACATGCGCACACTTCTTACCAGGATTGCCTCAAGGACGCTTGAATTCCTGGATAAGATTTCGAATGTTGAGTCGATGGCAATGGCCCTCTTACTTGTTTCCGAAAAGGTTTCTCTCCTGAATAATTTGGAATCGTGGTACTCAATATTTGAGCGCGTTCATTCGGACGCAAAAGCTCCGCAACGAGAGCCTCTGTCAGTAACTTTCTTACGCTTGTTCTATCGGACACTGCATATCGTGCTCCTAGGAGCAATCTCCTGCGCTTTAGAGTATGACGAGAAGCGACTGGCCGAGATTGAGCAATTGCGCCTTGTGGCAAATAATGTAGAGGAAGGATTAAAGGCTTATCGAGGTTACAGGGGTGCTGATAGTAAAGAACGTGCGTCGGATCCAGCATATTGATGAGTACTTGATGTGTTGACGGATTTCTGTCGACTCTCACAAGTGAACTTGGGCATGCAATGGACTTCAACAGCTTCAATGTAATAAAACTATCTGCAACATTGTATATAACACAATCGATTTCCAATTGCCTCATTTACTACCATATCACTGTGTCGCCTTTGCAGCCTCCTTATCAGCGGTCAGGACTTGCTGTATGACTGGCCTGTTGATGACGCGGTTCCACCATGCACTCACGGCTTTTCGACCGAGGATAAGATCTGCATATCCGCATACGAAGAGCCTCTGGATCAGGGGTACATAGTAAATGTCCACGAGAGTGAAGTCCTCCCCAGCCATGTAGTCGCTGTGTTGCAATGCACGTTCTGCAAGGTCAAAAAAGGCTTCGATGGACCGTGTTGCTCCTGACACGACTGTCTCATCAGGAGGCAAGCCCATGAATTTCTGCTTCACAAACTTCTCAAACGCAATTTTACTTGCGGGGTCGGCGAAGTAGGACATCTCCTCTGACTGCGCTTGTTCAAAAAGTGCAGTAGCTTCCCTGTCGGAGTCGGGAGGTAGAAGCAGGAAGCAGTATTTCTTGGCGAGGTACTTGCAGATAACCCTACTCTCATAGAGAGTGAAACCGTCGGGGAAGATGACGACTGGGACTTTACCTCAAGGGTGTCTCTTCATATACTGTTCCGGCTGTGCGGGATGGTGTCAGCACATGACTACGAGGAGATGTCGGTTTACGCACCTTTTGTTCCCCTTTTTGTAGGTTGATCAAAACAAGTTTGTAGTCCGCGAAGCCACCTTCAGCGAGAGTCAAACGAACACGATCTGTGTTGGTCGAGCCACGAGCGCCATATAGAGTGAATGCTGGCATTTTGGATGAGTGTAATATTTGCGACAGAATTCTGCGGTTGTTGGTGATGAACTTCGACATCATCTTGGATAACTTGGGGAAGATCATGACAAAGTTACCTTGTTTTATAATCTTCGGCACCGAATTTCTGCCTCACAGGCAACAACACCACATATGATACTCGGAACCGCCATCATCACATATGGTTGGCCGGCTCGCTCACAGTGCTTAATTAAGTTAGCGCGGGCGCAGGCTACGTGCTGACGGCGCCCGCTTCCCCGATTTAATCCTCCGGCCGTGCCGCCCGGTGGCTCCCGTGTCGTCCGAGACCGTTTGTAGTATCCGGACCGAGCAAGCCAATCAGCAGACACCATAAATGCAATTCTAGGAGTAGGCGTTGCGGTCTCATGACCATCTCTGATCAGACATATAGTTCTTGAGGGTTGGATCTGTGTGCAACTGGTCGTTGGTCCGTCAACGTTAAATACATGGACATCACCATTTGTTTTGGTAGCATTGAAAAGTCCAATATCAGCAGTTTCATCTTTTTTTCGAATCGGCTGCACGCTCAGCCAGTAGATTATAAGCCAAACTGGTCTTCTTCTCACTTGTTATCATGCACTTCCTCCTTCTCGGCGCGACAGGGCGTACTGGCAAACATGTTGTGTCTGAACTTTTGTCCCAAGGACATACAGCAATAGCACTCGTCCGCTCTCCTGGCCGTCTCCCTGACAGTCTTGACCTCACCGTCGTTACCGGATCGCCGCTATCAAAGCCTGATATCTCATCAGCTCTTTCGGCTACGCCTCCTCTAACTCCTTCCGCCGCCATCATCACCCTGAACACAGTCCGCGAGTCTGACAGCCCTTTCGCACGTCAGCTCTCACCTCCCCGCTTCCTAGCCGACTCATGCGCCAATGCTTGTGAGATTCTCCAGCAGGCCGGCATCCGTCGCATTGTGGTCATGTCGACAGCTGGCGTTGGTGATCCTTGGTCGAAGATACCATGGCTTTCGAAGGCATTCATGAGCTGGACCAACATCAAGTTCGCCCTGGAGGACCGTGGTCTCGTGGATAAGGAGATCCGTTCCACAAAGATGGAATAGACTCTTGTCAGGGCAGTAAGACTCGAATTCGATGACCCTAAGTTACCGAGTCAGACCGACACCAAGGCGGATGTAGAGACACTGGGTAGCGACGGTGCCGGAATGCGCGTGACTGACAGCGTCAGTGTTGGTAGTGCGGCAAGATTTCTCGTCAAGGTTGCAGTTGAGGGTCTCTTCATCGAAAGTACAGTGGTAATACGGGATTGACACCGGCGGTGGTCTTGCAACTCTGAAGGTAGTATGAGGATTAATTCTAGATGATCCAATAAAATCTTACTTGCCTCACCACTGTTGAATTATTCTCGTCCGCTTCAAGCCACTGTCGGTCAAACCAACGCCAACCTCCGGTATCTCTCCCTCAATTTGTCAATTGAATCGCCTTTGATCAAGACTACCAAAACTTTGGTCATTGAAGTATGTATGTCTCAGCGCAATACTCAGCATGAAACCGACCAGGCCTGCCACTTTCCCAGTTTCGACTTATCCAACCTTGAAGGACACCAGTTAGCACTTCTCTTCACGACGCTTCAGACGTCACAATCAAACATACTGAATACATCCATCCTGTACTTGATTGATACGTTGCCAGTTGGATGGCTCGCTGATTGATGCCACACACCCCGCAAGTCCCGGCGACGTCAAACGATCCGTGAATATGTCAATGGTACAACCTCCAAAGACGATGTTGACACTTTTTGCATCATAGTTGGCGTACGACTTGTTGATGCTAGTCATTGTGAAGCACTGAGCGAGGTGCTCGGTTCCGGTGTTGGAGCCGCCGCCGTAGTGGAATGTCGTTCCACCGGCGCACTGGTCATGGTCATGGAACGTGACCGACCACGCAGAAACGGAAGTTACAATTAAGGACAAAAGTGCGAGCTTCATGATGGTCTCGGTGATAACCGACGACTGGGAAAAAGAGAAAGTTAACACGACGTATTGAGTTCCGAAGTCAACTGAAGTGCGAACGCTTTGTATCGACATCGGATGAACGGCACTGGGATGTTGCCGTCAGCCCGTCCTTAAGGTTTGTAGGGCGGGACGGCCGACATTGGTTTGAGTAATACGCCCTTTTCGCTTAACCACATACCGTTCGGGTGTCCCAGATAGAGCACCTCACAAGCATCGGAGCTGACTCGCAATTGTAATTTCCTCCAAATATCTTGCGCGAAACAAAGGGTGGTGATGTCTTTAATTTGGCATCACGCAAACTTGGTGCGACGGGACTTGCCGTTGATACGTATGGCTCGCATTCGCATCCAATATCAGTGACAGAGGTTCCTTTTGAATCTGAAATTCTTTCATTCATTTTCTCGAGGACGGCCAAGTCTGTCCGTTTTCCTAGGTATCCAAGCTGGATACCATCCTCTATTCGAGGTAATGGTGTGGATCGTTACGTACAAACACCTTGCAACGAAAGTTAAGACCAGAGTCATGGTTGAATATCAGAAGACCTTGTGGGTTTGATGTTGAAAAAGTCTTTACCGACCATGACACACAGTGAAATGTCATGTAGCATGCTGACGTCCCGCCGTGGTACGACAGTGGTGTGCATAAGAAATACTCAACAACAGAGTGTCACGGATGGATTCATATGCTGCGTGAGCTTTCGTCTCACCGGGTGTTTAGGCTCTTCGACCCGCATGTTGGCCTCCTGCCAAGCTTCGAGCGACGGCAGACCGGCCGGCTCTTGCGTCCAACGTCCCCACCATCATGGAAGTAACAACAACATGCAGGGGCGAAAACTGAGCTATGAGCTATTGGTGACCCAAACAAGTGACATGTTCAAAGTTCAGGTGGCAGCGTGGATTTTTAAGCGATCCTGAGCAGTTGTTCAGCTTCTTTCGGTTCCGGCGCCACCGTGGGATATCGGATCCCTGGGAGATTGAAAACAAGGACGGCGGCAAGACGGCCTGTCATACTTTGTTGCTCATGAGTAGCGGGTAGGGGGCTGAGCTTTGGTCGCCGAAGGAGATTGCTCCTCTCAAATCAGTTCAACGTCATCTCTTCTTGCACTCATGCAAAATCACAGCCCTTATCCCTAAATACCATGTGGTAAAAACAAACCAGAACAATCCCAATCTCCGAATCTCGCCATCACGGTTGGCTAAGACATTTCGGCCTGCTACCTGCCACCAATAGCATCATAACCTAGAGCAAGGGGCACACTAATGGTTACTCTTCATTTTTCCCAATCTCATACGCAGATAAGTTGTGCTGACCATGAACGTCTCACGCCGGGGGCTTCAAAGCGCACAAAATATCAAGTCCGAATTTCCCGCAATGCAAGGTTGGCTTTGCCATACGCTCTTGATATCCTATCCTGTGTTCCTCAATGACGAGGGCCGGGGGTTCGCGGGGTTGGCTTGAAGACGCTGGGAGGGTAGGAATGCACCTGAACCTGCTCCGGGCGCACGGCTCAATCTTCGAGAATGGGAGCGTCTCTTTAGTCGGGCAGAAAAAAGTCCCGACGTTGCCAAGAACGGCTTCGATCTTTCACCCCTGATGCCTGAACATCTCATCGCACGACACTCTTGAGACCAGATGGCTGCTCCCAGCCCGATACTTGGCTATTGTGTCTTGGCTTCCGATGGTGATAAAGACCATCTGGTTTTGGCCTCTGTCCCGGGATGGCTGGGGGCTAAAATGGAACACCGTATTGTAACACGAACAAGATGAACGGCGAGACTTCCCAGGTTCGGCGGCTTGGAGAAAGAAGCATAAGCTATCATGCCATATTCGACCAGGCAAAAACCCCGAAGTCCAGTTTCTGAGGCCGCTTACGACGTGAAGATGGAACATCTTCTTCGCACGCCGACTTGTGTTGCTTCAGGGTGTCATGCAGGGTCAAACTTATTTACTATGCTCCATGGGAGCTACTCGGCGTGGGGTCCGGAACACAGCCAACCGGAATTGTCTTCAGTACCCCGAAGAATCCGCAAGCCAGGATCTGGCTTGCATCTCCTTTCCCATTCTCCTGGGTATTCCTGATTTCCTTCAATACCAAGATCCATCTTCCCAGTCGCCTTGCAACCCTGAAGGGCACCTTGATCGTCCAATTCGTCGAAGCAATGTAGGCAAAGTCTTCGCCCCGGTCGCGACATTCTTGGGCATAGATGATAGGTTGCAAATGCCGGGATTTTAATTCTTGGTCTCATGCTTCGGAGATAGTCTTGCTGTGACAAATCGATCGATTTTTTCCTTTCAATAGTCTTCCTCGACCAAGCCCGTAGAGCCAACGTCGCACCATCAAGAGGTCTTGCACTTTGTGCAATGACCTTGGCACTCGATCCTTAGGGCCCGGGCGAACGGGGGGGCGGTGCCTACCCCAACGCAGCCCACCGCCGGAGCCAAGACTGAGGAAGCGGATGGAGGGGCTATGTGTGAGGCGATTGTGACAAATTACACTGGGCGTACGGTATCAAACCGGGTAGACAAATGGTCTTGTTTACAAGGCGAGTGCAAGGCTTCACTCTGTTTAAGTACCATGTTGTGATATGGATGGCCAGGCTCTTGGAATACGAGACAAATAAAGTCAATAGATCAACATGTATCCACGTGGGTATAGGTTTGTAACCGGCCACCATAGCCGATCTGCCAAGTACGTGTGGTCCCGCGTGGCACCACTTTTGGGCCCAATGGAAGCGCACCCGGGGAGATCATTAAAGGAAGCCCAAACAAGGTTTCATCTTACAATGTCCATGCATCATGGGTTCCGATCCTCAATGGAACCTAAATCGGAAGGGCGAAATAAAGCAGCAGCCCGACGGAGATGAGGCCAAGGAACCACAAAGTTACAACACTGAAAGCGACAAATCAAAGTAGTCAAGGAACAGTCTGCCCGATGGGCATGGCAGTCATCCCTGTGGTCATGTCCGTGAATTTACCATTAGGGTAGCAATCAAGAGGCAGGTAGGTTCTTGGAAGCACGGGAGAAGTAGGAACGAAAGCGGGAGACGTTCAAGTGGCCAACATGAGCTCGAACGGCCTTTGAAGAGACCCGACTTGAGTTAAGCTTAACATACGGTGGGGAGGCCTTGCCGATATCTGGCTGGTAGATTGGTGGACTATGATGAGGCTATCGTCTGTCATCTGAGACGCAAATCAGGAAGAGACGGATGTTAGCTTGGCAGCCGGTCTTTGCATCCACAATCCTCGTCTTGAGCAGGCATTCACGAAAAGGCGATTTGCATTGAGCTGTAATCTGGTCGCAGGAGTATGGACGATAGCTGAACACTCAATCAAGAAGTCTAACTATGGGAGTTCAACAAACATAAACAAATGAAAGTCGGGATGAGAAGTAATAAACGCTAATAATTATCGACTGTTCAGCCTGTGGTATGGTCGTTGTTACCCAAAAAGTTGGAAACCGCTAATATCTCGCAAACTGGACTTCGGACGAAGTTGAACACACGTCTCCTTCTCGTTCTTTGTCTGGATCTTCGCTGATGTTGTCGCTGTCGCGATTACCGTGGTTTGCCCGCGAATGGGTATGAATCGTGATCTCGGTTGTTTTTGTCGGGTAAGAACTTGTCGCCGGCGACACATGACTTTTGTCTCCTTTCCCAATGCGAACCTCATACTCAGGCTCGTCGGTTGTGGTGAATTGCCTAGACCTCTTGCCGTTGAATGTTTTAAGAGCCACGTCGTTTGCCGGTCCATGTCCTTGACTGCGCACGTAGGTGCTGCTGTTCGAGGCCCCTCGTGTGAGTTCGACGAGGCGATTGAGAATGCTGAACTCGAGCTTCAGCTTAATGCTGTATACCAACGGTTTCCAAGCTGTCTGTATGTCGTAAAGGTTGGTGAACTCGAGGGCCAAAATCGTCACGTCTAGTAGGACAACTAGTATGTTCACCCAGATCAGGTGGTTCATGATCTTGCGGGTGCGCAAATCGCCGATGCTGTTCATGAGACGAAGGCGTTTGGTTGTTTCCCATACGTACAGCGAAGAAATGATGATCTCTTGTACGAAGAAGACGGTGAGTTGGATCTTTTCGAAGATAGTGTACGGATTCTGGAACGGTTCCGGGTTTGCCGAGTTTACCCCATAGACTAGAATGATGATGGGAATATGCAGCCAGATGGCGTCGGCGATGATCATGTACAATACCAGTCGCAGTCGCTTTCGGTCATGAACAACGATATGCAGGCGTGAGTATAAGACGACTGACTGGCCTGTAATCATGGCACACCAGCCGATGAGAATGAGCGTGGCGTAGATGATCGGTTTCGTCGTGAGGGACAGGTGCCTCAGCAGGTAGCCGGTCCCATTGAATGCGATGCCCCATGTTGCGATAAGAATACTCCAAAAGTACAATCCCGAGCGCCTTTTGAATGATGTAAAGATTGAGACGGTAAGCTCAAGAACGTTGTAGAAAGCAATGCTGATGAACACGCAAATAACAATCGCAACGATGATCCTGGTGTTGATGTCGATTTCTGCCATCGTTGCCAACGGTCCGTGAAGTCAACAATGGCACAACAGAGCAATGTGTCCAGCAGAGCGAAAGGTCCTCGATTCTACAGCTATCATTGTCGGACATTTAAGAATCACAAACACATTATTCTTCCTCAAAAAACAGGAGTTTCAGCTTGCTTGATTAGCGTGAGTCCTTTGGTGTTCCCAACGATACATCGCAGGAAGTACACAAGACCTTAGACCAAGACCTTCAACAGGATCATGTCGCGAAGCAACAGCTTGGCACATACATTAACTTTCTAGATGCCGTGGTCATTATAGCACTAACGTCCCTGGAGACGGACCTTTGCCCAAATTCGACCAAGTCGAACCACTGCCAAGACTCGGGGAACTACTCCGCAATAGCTAAAATTCGGAGTGGGGGTTCTGGGGGAGCTTCATTGGCACAGTCGCACTCCATCTTTTGGTCCCTTTACCGCAGTCATTATTGGACTACTCTAACATCTTAATGCACCGGCAGATGCGACTATGCAATTTTAAACACGCAAGGGTCCATCAACGCGGGGACGTCCACGGTAGCATACAAAGCGCCTCGTACCCAACCTCTGGAACATGTTCCCCTCGTCACACACCACCAAGCACAACGCTCCTGGAAACCAACAATGTCGTCTTTGCTGGCTGTAGTCGCTGCAGGTCTTCTAGTGCCCCTGGGCATGGGCCTTTGTACCGCTGCCGAAGTTCCCGCCACAGCCCAGATAATTGACTTGAAGAGTTTCAACGTCCTGCAGAATGTGCCCCCTCCTGCAGAGGCCAACGACTCGACGGTATGTCGCTCCCATCCTCTTACGGCTGTTTTTGCTCACTCTCATGCAGCTTTTCCTTTGGCCTGGTGTAACGAAAGAGTCACTTGAGGCTAAACCATTCCACATCTACGATGCCGAGTTCTACGATGTCATTGGACAGAACCCCTCGCTTACCCTCATTGCTACCTCTGACACTGACCCTATTTTCCACGAGGCTGTTGTGTGGAACCCTCCCACCGAAGAGGTCTTCTTCGTTCAGAATGCCGGTGCTCCTGCTGCAGGCACTGGGCTGAACAAGTCTTCCATCATCCAGAAGATCTCACTCGCGGAAGCCGAGGCTGTGCGAACAGGTTCCCGGGCTAACGCAATTGTCACTGTTGTGCCGTCGCAACCCCAGGTCATCAACCCTAATGGTAAGTCACTTGATACCTGAAGGCATCACACCAGCTTACATGAATGCCTAGGTGGTACGAACTACAAGGGCAACATCGTCTTCGCTGGAGAAGGCCAAGGTGACGATATCACTTCTGCGTTGTATCTTATGAATCCAGTCGCTCCATTCAACACGACCGGTGAGTTTTCTTGTCAAAGAAAACGCGTATGTATGTAGCTGATTGTCCAGTCCTCCTGAACAACTACTTCGGTCGTCAGTTCAACTCGCTCAACGACGTCGTCATCAACCCCCGTAATGGAGAGCTGTACTTCACCGATACGCTATACGGCTTCCTGCAGGACTTCCGTCCTCCTCCTGGCCTTCGCAACCAAGTCTACCGCTACAACTTCGAGACCGGCGCTGTCGCTGTCGTCGCTGATGACTTCACATTGCCCAATGGTTGGTCCTCATTGACGTTGCTGGAAGAAACCCGCCTAACAATCGACAGGTCTCACCTTCTCTCCTGATGGCAAGAAGGCCTACGTCACCGACACCGGCATCGCTCTGGGATTCTACGGCCGCAACCTGTCGTCTCCCGCTTCCGTCTACTCCTTTGATGTGAATGAAGATGGCACTTGGGAGAACCGCAAGACGTTTGCCTACACTGCCTCCTTCATCCCTGATGGTTTGTTCTCCGTCTTCTCACTGCACTTTTACAAGCTGATCATTCCTAGGTGTCCACACTGACTCCGTTGGCCGCGTCTACGCCGGTTGCGGCGATGGGGTTCATGTCTGGAACCCCTCCGGCAAGCTCATCGGCAAGATTTACACTGGCACTACTGCCGCAAACTTTCAATTCGCTGGAAATGGCCGCATGGTTGTTACGGGGCAGACGAAGCTATTTTATGTGACTCTCGCTGCTTCGGGTGTGGAATTACAGTAGCGATAATGAGGTGGCATACCACCCGCAGCTTCTCGTAATGTTCAACCATCACACACTCGACATTGGGGAAAAGAACCACGTGCTAAGTCGGAATGCTAATTAGTATCTCAAGACCTGTGTATGGTATGCCAGCCCCACGTACGATGGAAATCCACAGTTTCTTTGTTTTACAGGATATGTCGGTACATCTTGTTCATCAATGAATGTACCCAGATAGCTTTGAACTTGGGTATGTGTACAAACCATCAGCGTGTCACTGCGAAAACAAGGAAAGCCCTTTCAAACCTAAATTGCCTCTTCGGCTACGTATGTGTCGTTGTGATGCCTGTCGTCTTTCCGTCCCGAATTGGTTTCGCCATTAGCTATCATTCAGTCATTCGTCTTGGCCCGTTTATCTATAGTACATTGGACCATTACAAAAATCGCAAATTCCTTCCATGTCAATATCGTCACGCCAATTGAAGGCCTCAATTTTCCTTTTTAACTTTCCGTCCCTAAATCTCTCACCTCCATCGGCCGTAGCCGTCACACCCACCTCTTCCTCCTCGTTCACCTCCGTATCGAGCTCAATCCACCCGCCCAGGTCTCTCTCTTCATCGACATGAATCCCTACCGCTGGACAGGTGTAGTCCGGCAGCTGTTTCTCTGGAACACTTCCAACTCCTTGAAGTTCTTTTCTCTCGGAACGGCGTTGTAGTTGCACGCGATGGTGTAGCGCACTATAGCTGCCAATCAACACTAACCCCCGTCCCGTGGCTGACCTACCCTCTGTCCCGGTATTCGAAGGCAAATAAAATATCTGCCTCCCAGATGCAGAAAGTGGTAGCATGACTTGAAGTTTAGGCATCATAACAATGCCTGCGGACATGGTTTCGGAGGCATGAAAGAGGCCAATACGGAAGACATTGAGCCTGAAGCCAGTGACCGTAAGGTACAGGTGCTCTGAAACCCAAACGAAAGTGAAAGGTAACTTGGCGAGGGAGAGGCCAGTGAACTGACCAAGCGTTAGTTTGACCTTGTGGACCAGCCGGGGTGGGCTTCGTGTTGTTTTGTGCGAGGACAGTCGGTGAGTAGTGAGGAAGACAGAAACCACGATCTCTGGCTTTTTGTCCATTCCTCCATCCGGAGACGTTGTATTAGACGTTCTCTTTCCCAACAGTCGTCCTTCTACACTAGCTATATGGATGTAGTTCCCACAGGAAGAGAAGTGTATTTTCATACAAATGTGTCGGGCTAAATAGTCAGCGATTGTCACGATGTAGATCCCCCAGGTATTACTAACTGTCCCTTGTTGTGGGCATGATCGCTCTGATGAAGTACGTCTTCTCCTCAAAATCAGCAAAGAGGACCTCACCGCCTCCTGAGGGCCATACAACAAGGGCCTTCTTGGGATGTAGTACGGGCGGGGAGTGATATAGCATGCAGGTGACGGGAGTGTCATGGTCGTAGTGAAATAGACGCACGGCATCTCCTGAAGTCATGTCGTATACTGCAATGGTGGTGGTGATGCGGTCTTTCGGATCTCTGACGCGGCTTGGCATGCCTGGATATGTCGGCCGGTCTTTTTGCTCTTGTTTCAACAAGTCACCTTCGAGCTCTAGGTTGCTTTCTGCCGGCATCTGGTAGTTGGCCACGAGCCTCTGCTTGCGCTTTTGCCGCTGGCCAATCTCTGCTTCAGCTTCGCCATCTGCTGGCTCAATTTCGTTTTCCTCTTCATCCGTATCGTCGTCCAAGTACTCATCAGACTGTTCATCAGAGTCCATATCGTCCCCTGTTATCTCTTCTTCTGACTCATCAGAGTCGAAATCCGTAGACCCATCACTACAAGTCTCGTAAGCGGAATTCTCGTCGGCTGAGTACTCGTCTTCAGAATCTTCATCACTTCCTGTTTCTGATGAGTCAGAATACAAGCCTTGCAAAAGTTTGGCAGTATGCTTTCTGCCGGCCTTGCCCTTCGCCGACTTCTCCTTTAGGTGCCTGTGCACGTTACGGCTTGCAACAACAATGATTCCATCACGCATTGCAACATCGGTTGAAAGAGGTTCGAGATTCGAGTGCGTTCCGTGGCTGAGGATGAGTTTAGAACCATAGTCTTTCATGTTGGACAAGACTGTGGCAACCGCGTTGGAGAACGCGATGGAGCTACCAGCATTGGACTGCAAGTCGATGTTGCTGGCGAAAATGGTGCTTCTTGAGACACATCGAGGGACTCCCGGCACCCCAAAATCCCACGTGTCCAAAGAAACCTGTCCCAATTCCCTAGATAGAATTGACCATCAGTATGAATTCTCAAGATCAAAACTCCATGAAGGCTGGATTTCTTCGAAAGGTCCTACTTTGATGTGGATGACAAAACAATGAACTGAGATTTAGAAACGCAAACCGCATCGGCGATTATTAATTCCTCAGACTTGTGCATGTTGAAAGGTTGATTCGTCAGCATGAAGCTCGGGTATTTTTCCTTCATCCGGTTCATGAAGTGCTCCGGCCCGAGAAGGCCAGTTAAACACCTGTCGACTTCTCCGCAGAAGTATTGGCGCAAACATTGTGCCGACGTGTCCGATGCGCAGATACCGTGCTCGAGAAGGTATCCCCATTCATGCATGAAGTGACGATAATCACGACGAAATTTTTCAGCTAGCTTGATGAATTCGACGTCCTTATCTACTATCAATCCAAACCAGTCCGGAAGAGCTCGTCGATACATCGGTCTGCTGGTTAGATCGGAACCTATCAGTCTGAATTGTGTGAAATGGCCTGTGACGAACAGGCTCTGGACCTGGATCAAGGTCTGGAAATTGGGAGACTGCAGAAACTTCAGAAGTTCCTCCCGACGTTCTTGTGTGGGTTCCACGTCCTCCAGATGTCGATCCCAGTATTTGGCACTGTAGGGCAAGAGGCCGTGTTGCTGGGCGTCGTCATACGTGAGACCGAGCGGTATATGACACTCACCAGGCGCCAAGCCTACAAATGTCGAATATCGCGACTGAGACAGATAGCGAAGGCAAACGTCCCCCACTTCAGAAGCAGAGATTTGGAACCTGATTGAGGCTTGATTTGAGGTTCTGTCGCTTAGAACATCAGGATGGGTGACCAAAAACTCTTGGACAGTCGAGTGACACAGCCGACAAAATGGGTTATCTGGCTCCTTCGGGTCGCTCTGAGTCTCCACTAAAGGGGCAAACAGCCGATGTAGGTTTCTTGGGACCTTGCGAGGGTCCAGCCCCTTGTCACGTTCGGACAATGCTATCGTCATTGCCTCTCGAAGCTCATATAGACGCAAAGGGCGGCGAGCGAAGGCGACCAGGGAAAACAGGATACTGTTTCTTGATCAGCATCGGTCTTGCAAGAATTCAAAAAGGGTAGAGACCGACCTGATGTATCTGTGTTGGTCTTTTTGGTATTGGCGGAAGATCCGCTTGTACATCTCAGCGATATTGTTGGGCACCCTGGACTTGATGAAGGTGATAACATCATCAATGGTAAACACGTCTTCCTTCAACCACTCTACCATAAGTCGAGCATAGAGGAAGTTGCTTTCAGCTTTTGCCTGCAACTTTTGCAAGACCCATTCGTCAACTAGGAAAAGTCAGTGATGTCGCTACGAAAAGGAACCCAACTTGCGGATCTTATCTTACGCGGCTGGCCCTCGACATCTTGGACATTGTCCCCACTTCTTTCAAGTTTCGGCACCATGCGTGTCAAGAAATCTTTGACGTCGACTTCGGCATGCTTATCAACATTTACCATTGGCCATTGTCGCAAATGAATGTTTAGAACATTTGTTTCTCGGGAGCTAATCCAGGTTTTTCGGAGGATTGAAGGCTCCTCGTCAACACTCTCGAATAGCTTAAGGATGTCTTCGGCGGCGTGGGAGTGTTTGTTTTCGTCTAGCCCGTCAAGGAAGAGGTAGACACTGGGTGAATTCGCCTGTGGCGCAATGCCCTTCTCCTGAGAGAATTGATTACCCTGCTTGATAATCAGCCGCGCGGTTTCTGCGAGTGATGTCATATTTTTCTCCGTCGTCTTGATGTAGTCGTTCACATGGGCGGCGATTCGTTGGTCCTGTTTCCAGAAGTGTCGGAATAACTGATCGACAAGAAGAGCTGCTGCACGTATCCCATCGCTCGAGCCAGTCTCGGGTTGATCATCGAAACGGTAAAAATAGTACAAACAGATTTCTCCCAGCTGTTTCGAGACATGCTCGATGGCGGTAGAACATAAGTATGATTTTCCAACCCCAGGAGAGCCCCTCAACCAAAGGTTCGTCTGTGATCCCTTCCTTTTGGTCGTTAACCAGTTTTGAAAGTCGTTGTGGCTGAAAAGCCATTCGCCGCTTCCTTGCTCTCGGGCTTTCAGATTTCTCTCGTGCAGTTGGCTGTTCGCGTTGTTGTCTTCCTGAGAGCTTAACCATCCTCTCACGTCCTGGTACAGGTTATCTTTAGTTCGTTAGCGAAATTCGGGGCATAAGGTTTTGCGGGATGCATACCTTGCTGCGTACTTGTCTGGACGGCTTGAAGATCCAGGACATCATTACTCATTGCATGAACATACTTGTCGACTCGCGTCATGATCGATCTTTGGTCTAGACATTAGCTCTCTGAGGTGACAGAGCTGTTACTGAGGGTGAAACACGTACTGCTGATTTGATACGACAGCCATGCTGAAAATCTTACTGGCGTCATCAAGACGTTTGAGAGAGGCTTTAAGCTTTTTGTCAAACCTGACTCCACGGAATACCTTTTCCATCCGTCCACTATTTATGTAGTCCTTCACGATTTGCAAAGCCTCTGAAGATCGAGTCATAACGGGCAGTAGGTGCTGGAGAGACCTAAGGCGATCTTCATCATCATCATGCAAGTCCACATGAGTCTTGAAGCTTCCCATTACTCCATGAATTTCATACAGGGTCTTCATCATGTCATCCATCTCTATAGACGACATATCTGAAGGGCCTATGCGCTTCTTGATTGTTTTGAGGCATGCTTGCGCAGCCGTGACTATGCCAAGTACGCCGACAGTAAGACTGAAAGGGTCCATTGTCACAGTTGAGGGGATGAAGGTCATCGACGGGGGAAGGGAAGGCGTGAGAATGAAGGTGGTTGCCCATGCTGATTTATGAGGGATCAGGTGGTTAAAACGTCACGCTCACAGGCAATGCATGAGAAGCAGGTTGAACACCGAGAGCATGGCGAACCACGTTATCTCTGGGCAGTAATGACAAGGCAACGAATCCGACTCATTCTGAGGCTTCATGGCGTTTGATGCTGACCAGACTGCCTTGTCACGAGCGGGTGCATACGATACAGCCTGATGTTGGCCGCAGCACACCCCCTTTCCGCTTCATACCTTGCATGTGAACGATTTGGTCCAGTAGATTGCCCCCGACGGCAACCATCACTTGGTTTTGTCTGCAGTCATCACTGAAGCTCCCCCAATCGTGGTTCGGTAGATCTTTCTTTGGTGGAGAGCCTTCCCAGCATGGGTGTGCCCAGTGAGACTGTTGTCTGCCCTAGCTGGCGCCAGCAGGCAGAAGTAGGCAAATGCAGGCAGGGAGTCATTACCCCGCCCCGCCAGGCAAACCAGGGTCAGTGGATGCCCCAGTCTTCCCCATTCTACTTACGGCCCGATATGTCGCGACATGTCTTCATAAATATCGACGGCATGCATTGGTATTCCCCAGTCGTAATTTTTAGCGGCTCATTGTTCGACTCTTGACATTCAGTTTCTACTAGCAGAGGACTTTGTAGCATTTAGTGGCCGAGGTTGGGTTCTAGGTTTTATTTACAGGTTCATTCTGGAGCCTTATTGGAAACATGAGCGAAGTCACCGCTACCCCTAACAACGATGATGCTGCAAAGACGGACACCAAAAAGAGGAGCCGAATTCTTCGCTCCGATCAGGTGTGAGTTAAAGCGAATATACCATTTGATGCGTTTTTGGGGACGATTGATTAACATGAAATTAGATATGACTTGTATGTGTATACGTGGCACCAATGCAACAATGAAGACATCGAAAGCTGATTTTTGCACGTCGGCAGCCAAACTAGTCAAGTCCGTTTGATCAAATCGGTCAAATCCGACAGCAAAAAACAGAATGGGCGGAAAGCCCTTCTGAGAGTGCGGAGACTCATGGATGAGACAGGCTTTCACACTAAGACTGAGGTCGATATCAAATCCGGCCGGCTAGCTCAGGTCATGCGGCAAATTAATTCGGACGTCGATGATATCTCGCTGAAATCAAATCCACCGGTCGTAAGCCATTTCTTACCCAAACCCGTCTTGCGGTCATGTCGGCTTACTGACCTGCCTATGTAGGTTCCTCTAGAACTGTTTTATCACAACCGAGCGGCCCTGCAAGAGCAGTTGGACAAAGCAAGAATATCGGAGCCAAAAGACGTTGAACTCATCACAGACTTAGTAGACACTCTGAAATTCGCCGAGGAGGATCACGCCACGAATATTGCTAATCTTGAGCCGCTTCTCGCCGCCGGGGAGATTACGTGGGAACTCCTATGGGCTATCTTCGCCCCAAACATCTTGATCTACCGATATCACCGACTCGTAGAGCAAGATCAAATTCTTCAGCTCCGAAGCATCAAGCAGCTCAAGAGACGAGACAAAACGAGACTTTGGTGTTTGGACTGTCGCATCGTAGCAGATGATGGCGTCAAGTTCGGCCTGGCATCAGAACCATTCGCAATGCTCATCGATGAATTCACTGGGGCCCGAAAGATTGCGGACTTGCGCATCTTTCCTCTCGAGTACCACAAGAACAAAGAGGAGATATGTGCCAAAGCATTGGTCCGCGGACGTCGTTTCGCAGGCCTTCATGAACCTCGGGTGATGGAGACAAGTGGGCCGGCCATGTTCGAGAACCGTACCACTCGATGGGAGCCTTATCCGATCAAGTTTGCTTCCCATGGAAGGATGATCATCGACCCCGCCGGCTTTCGATCTGTGAACCCGAACATAAGCTTCATGCCCGAAGTACACGCGGGACTTTCACGGGAAAACTTGACTGAAGAGGAGCTTATTATCTGTACACCTGTAGCACTTGGCTTTTGCTTTGGTAACTCGAAATGGGGTGTGCCACCTTCGAATCCCATCACAAAATCCTGCGCGAACATGAACATCAGCTAATTTTGGTTGTTTATTAGGAGGTTTTGCTATGTCTCGACTTCTTGATGTCAAGTGGAATGATCAAGCCTTTACAGACCTTGTCTTGGAAGAGCCAACAAAGATGCTTGTTCGTTCTATGGTCAGGCAACATTCCTCGCAGACAGATGATTTTGTCTCTGGAAAGGGGAAGGGCATTGTGTGTCTCTTCAGCGGACCCCCAGGAAGCGGTAAAACATTGACCGCCGAGGCGGTGGCGGAGATCACCCGGAGACCTCTGTACAGTGTCTCTGCTGGAGATTTAGGAGTAAAGCCTAAGGACGTGGACGAAAAGCTCAGAGAGATTCTAGAGCTATCACACAAGTGGAACGCAGTGCTGCTTCTTGATGAAGCGGATGTCTTCCTGCAGGAAAGAGACTCAACGGACATCCAGAGGAACGCCCTTGTCAGCATTTTTCTGAGGCAACTCGAGTATTATCAGGGGATTCTCATCCTCACGACCAATCGCATCGCGCAGTGCGATGCTGCTTTCGCGAGCAGGGTGCATATTTCAAAAGAGTATCCTGAGCTTGACGAGTCTTCCAGGGGGAAGATTTGGGCGACGTTCTTGAGGCGGATGAAGAATGCCTCCCAGGGCGCTGAAGTTCATATTACTGAGGAAGACATTACTAGGTTAGCAAAGATGGAGATAAATGGTAGGAAAGTAAGTGTATATCCATCCTGCTCTCCTTTTTTCGTTGTCTGACATCCTAGATTAAAAACATCTTCAGTAGCGCCAGAATTATCGCGAAGGAGATGCAAGAGCCGTTGGCCATCTCCCACATAGACCTAGTTCTGAACGCTACGAATCCAGTGTTCGAGACACAACCACCAAAGCCCTTGGATGTAGCTCACCAGAATGGCGTCGACAATGGTATTTAGAACTGATTCATGCGAGTTTGTCTGTTCATAGATTCGTTCGCCAGTTGAGGCTATGGCCACCTACAATCACTGGGGATCAGAATCCGTTCATGCTTCATGTTTTCTTTACCTTTTCTTCATCCTTTTTCTTTTTCAACTAAACAGTAGCGTGTTATGTTGGCTTCGATCGATACACATACCAATGCTGCCGCAAAATGAGGCGACCCCTTCCTTCAAACGACAAGCCGCAAGAGAGATGGTAAGAAAAAGGAGAAAGAGCTATTAAAATCTTAGGATTATCAAGAGATGGAACGTAATCCAATGGATTTACTGTGATATGGTGTCTGGTCATGTTCTTCAACTCATGAAATATTGTTGCCGAGCACCTGGATACTCTGTATCAGGGGCACTGCATTTGCCTGGGTGACCTGAAACCGGATCCGGTTGGTATCCATCGCACTACCGAGCCTATCGATGCGCTTGTAGCCAAGTGATGTGCCGTTGACAACACTCTCGAACGCTCCATCCATCATGCAGTCAATGGTGTATCCACCAACCCGTTGTCCCAAAGCGATGTGCTCCTGGACAATGAAAGCCTCCACGCGAGCTGTGACACCCAGATCAATTTCCAGCCAGCCTGTGCGCTCCCCGTCATTCATGCTCCAGTATGTGTCGGTCGAGGTACTCAGGACGTTTGCAGGGCCAAATGTGGAGTTATCACCACCTCTGACACTGCTGGCCGTGACTTTCGAATCGGGAGTGACTAAGTTGCGGCCAAGAAAGCTGTCTCTGAGACGCTTGAACTCTATTAGGGCATCGTTGTCTTCCTTAGTTATCTGCCCTGTGGTGTCCGGTGGCACGTCCAGGAGGAGGCTCACGCTTCGCCCCACAGACTGGAAGTACATGTCCAAGAGCTGCTGTCCCGCCTTGAGCTGTTCGTTGTCGTGCCAGAACCAACCCGTCCGGACTCGAGCGTCAGCCTCAGCCGGGGTCCAGTACAATCCATCACGGAGGCCTGTTTGCAGATCTGCCTCGCTGAGGCGCTCTTGGTCCTGCGTCCGGCTGATGGTGTGCCAGTTAGTGGGCACTGTCACGCCGTCCTCATTGCCCACCCATCGTGCGTCCACACCTTGGTGGCCCCATATGATTGCTGAGGGTTGATGCGTGCGGATGATGTCGCGGAAGTCTGTCCAGTCGAAGGTCTGGACAGTGCTGGAGCCGCTGGCGCCATCAAGCCAGATCTCGAAGAGCGATACAGGGCTTCCGTCCGTTAGAGTCATGTTCACCAGCTCCGTGAGCTGGCGGCGGTAGAGGTCATTATAGTCCCCATCATTGTTATCGCCAAATATTTGCGGCTCGTCATAAATGGTGCCATTCAGCAAAGGCTTCGGCATAGCTGGGTCGCGGTGGATGTCCCAGGGTGACAAGTACACGCCGAACTTGAGACCGTACTTCTTCGCCGAGGCGGCAGCCATACGGACCACGTCAGCCTCGAACCCAGCTGCAGAGCGGTTCTTGGCCCAGCCGCCATTGGCAATCTTGTAAGTTGTGGTGGAGGTGTTCCACAGCGCCATGCCGTCATGGTGCTTCGCTGTCAAGATCATGCCGGACATGCCCGCGTCGGCGAACGACTTGGCCCATTGGTCTGTGTCCATAGCTGTCGGGTTGAAGACGTCGGGGGGCTGCTGACTCCTGCCCCATTCTTCGTCGGTGAAGGTGTTGGGTCCAAAATGGATGAAGGCGTAGTATTCCATCCGATGCCAGTCGAGCTGACGCTGCACTGGAGTCTGCAGATAGGCATCGGGGGGCGCCTGTGCCCTGGTTAGGCCAATGACCAGGATGAGGCATGCGGCTACAAGAAGCCACTGGCGACAGAGAGGACCAATCATTGCTCCAAGTCGTCCAGATAATTGTAAGATATACGGGAATACATCTACAACAATGGTGTATTGGCCGTTGCGTCGCGAACAGAGTGCTTGTCGTGAGTTTGTCCGGTCCAATGTTGTTCGACCGGGTGGTTCTGAATCATGCCTTACCTGCTTCTCCAAACATGGGGGATATATCCGATTTAATTTTATATGCATGGACTTATGACGGAGAATTTCCCCTCACCACCCCAGGCTTCTCCTCATTTCGACGGCGCATGCTCGACCGAACGAACCGCAACGACCCACTCTATCCTGATGTTGATGTTACCTCACGACAAGCTCAACTTCCTAGTCGGGTATAGATAGCTTACCATGGAACGTCACATATAAGTTATTGCATCTATTCTTAACTTTGAAATGAGCATCGCCTGAGGCATTGCAACATAACAACCTCTCGTGTTTTCATTCACAATAGCTACAGCCCAATATTTCATTGTGTTAATTGACACACCGAGCCTTAGTCCAGTGACAGGCTACGCATTTCCAGCATAAAGAGACTACTCACAAACCCCCAATCTACTTTAGACCAATCATGATCTGGCCGAGAGATTGAGTCTTCTCATACCGACTTCTGCTTTCCGTAACTGGCTGTATTGGCGGAAGCTATCTCTGGATTAACAAGCAGAGAGAGCAGCGCAGGCATCTCTGACTCTTCAGGTATCATAAACCATCGAAGACGGGTCATAAGACAACCAAGTCTAGGAGATGCCGTGATGACAGCAAATGGTACATTTAGACAGAGTCCGACTACCAAAGGCAGAGCCCACGTCATGGATTCGGCATCCTTCGATCTAACGCATAGAGCTACCGCGCAGCTGATACCAATTACAGACTGCGGCCAGAGTACACGAGAGGTATCGCGCCAACTGAGTCCTAGTCGGTTGCGATTTTGGCCATCCCAGCTGATAGACTTTCCCATAAGCAAGCCAATGAGGAAGACCGCAACGGACACGGCGGTCGCAGGCCCGATCAAAGTCATCAAAATGAACTCCGTCAGTCCGGCCAGCAAACAATGGTAGATCCCTCCATGGCGCTTGAAAGAAGCCATCGCGGTGTCAAGAAGGCCGGCAATCTTGGGGAAGCAGCCGATGACGACGAGAATTAGCTGTGGAGTGAAGCCTAGATGCGTATGACTTCCGTCAATCTCACTGAGGGCGACATTCCAAACGTAAGCCAGGGTCATTACGACCCAGCAAGCCTGAGACAGGTATGTGGTGATGGTCTGGCAGACCTGAAAGCGGGTGATAGGATTCAGGCCGGGCTCATTCCACAGAAACCAGTACTGCATTGTGCCTTGGCACCAGCGCAATTCCCGCCGGATATAGAAGAAGGAGGGTTGGCGGATTGGTTTCGTAGCTTTCGGTCTCGATGGGAAGGAGCCTGACTTCGTAGCCAGCCCGACGCATAAACATGGCCTCCATGAGGTCGTGACTTAGAATGTAGCCGCCCAGTGGTGGCCCTCCCGGCAATTTTGGCAACATGCAGTTCTCATGAAATGCCTTTTTGCGGATGATGGCATTGTGGCCCCAATACAGCGTGCAGTCGGCAGCCCACCAGCTGAATCCCGTATTGTATGCATGCAGGCTATGACGGAGTCCGAATTGGTATATGCGAGTAAAACCACTAACAGCCGGCATGCCCACGACCAAGGTTTGCAACAGGCCGATCTGGGGCTGCTTCTCCATACTGAAGACCATACGACTGAGAAGGTCTCCGCTCATGGCGCTATCGGAGTCGAGCGGGACAAAGAATTCGTCTCCTTCCGAGTGTTTGTCCAGATAGTCCTTGATATTTCCCGCTTTGAAACCGACGTTCTTCTCTCGACGGCGATAAACTGGGTCGCTAAACATACCCATCCCGAGACTTTGTCGAATGCGAGAGAAACCCTCTTCTTCCTTTTGCGCAACATCTGGAACGGTGGTGTCGCTAAGAACGACAAAACGGAAATGTTGAAGACGGTTGACCCGGCGCAGGCTTTCGTGCATGGCCCGAAGATGGTTGAAAACTGGCTCCGGGTCTTCATTTCGCATGAAGATGGTCAAAGCAGTCCTAGAAGTAAGTTCTGGAACGGGGCCACCGGCTTCGAAGTAGGGGTAGATGGACTTGCTGGCTTTGCCAAAGGCAACGATGCAGAGTCCGATCAACGTGTTCCAGAACGTGAAGACTGGCCATGGAACACAGATTGTAGCACAGATTAGAATGAGAATGTCGAGAAGGCCGGCCCTTGGTTGTTGAGTGCAACTATTGAAATACGCCCAAAGTAACGGAGCTGTCGTAACAACATTGAGAATGAGTACCAGCAAACGGCGCTGCGGAACCGATATGCCGGTGTAATGGACTGGCGTTGCGACCTGAGTCATTTCCTGTACTGCCATTTTGAAGCTCGTATGCTTTTCGGGATATCAAGGAAAGCGCGAGAACAGCATGATAACTTCACACATGGAATGTGAAGACTTCTTATGCAAACAATCATGACAGGGCCACACGAGCGATATCAGTTCTAATTCCATCTTGTAGACAGCCTACATGCAGGCTTGTAGACATTGGACTCGTTGTCTATCTGTGGAGCCTCATTCCGGCTCCCACATCAAACCTCGCGATTCAGGAGCATTAGAGGCTCAGACCAGAAAGGGCTGTCGCTTACATGAGTGTCTTCACATTCTACAAGAAGAAAACTTGAGCGGCTTGACTGGCCAAAGCCCCTCATTTTGATCCATTATCTCCAGTTAGCAGGGAAGTGTCTCTACTTACCCTGGCTCCGGGTTGTTCCTACTCCATGTGCGGCTGCTTTTCGCCGCTTAATCAGCATCCACATTGAGAATGAGGTGTCTCTGAGCGGCCCATCTCCGACAGTGGACTCTATGCTGTCTATCGGACTTCTCGACTGGGAACTCCGCCCGCTTGCGATGTGAGACCCGCCAATGTGAACAACTTGCGCTGTTCACAATCTCTCATCGCCTCTCGTCTGATCTGCTTGATGTATCATATTTCTGCCGTTTGAAAATCCTGGGAGGCATTGTTGTTCATTTGCTCTGCTGCGTTGGGGAAACATATCCCCTGGATGATGTTATCTCGGTAGTAATTGCAAAGTATCATCATCTTTCCCTCCAACAGTTTGCACGCATAGATTAGACAGATAATGGCAGAAAGTGATTAAAAAGAGAGAGAGAGAGAGGTCAATTTCAGGTCGGAAATCGCACCAAGATATATTCAACTAACTTGTCCTGGAGATGAGACAGCACCTCAGAGAGCAATCTGAGCACCATATTGAACAGGTACATTTCAGTTGCCTAGTACTACACAATGCAGAAACTGAGAGGCTGGCGATCGTCTGAATGAACAGGGACTTAGCAAGAACAACAGACGAACATGGATGGCACTGACACGATAATTATAATAGAGTTCGTTAGGATGGTTTGACGTGAACCTTGAAGAAGCCGAGGACTCCTGAAATCAGGCCGTAAGGTCATGCGTCAAGTTCACAAATGAATGGTACTTGAACATTCGCAAGGCTGTTAATATTTCCAATCACCTCAATAAAGCCAATTTTGCGCCCGAAGCTGCTCGTAGATGTCTTCCATCGTTCTCTCGCCAACGCTCACATTCAATTGCCAGGATCATGTGCCCGGCACCAAGTTTCGGTCGGGGAGATGACATATTCTCCGCTTGGTCTGTACGCACGCGTCTCGCGAGCCGGAGGGTTTCTGCTACAGATTACTCTATATCCCAGTGCATGGACCCACAGCTCCGAGGGAATGGTTCGGCCAAGCCGTGATACGGTCTGGGTCGAGTCGCGAAAATCAATGGGGATATTGAGCATCTTGAGTCATGTTACCGAGCGTTCACTATTTCACAGCCTGTACATATACACCGCAGCTCGGCATCCCCTTCCTAAAGTTCTCAGTAGAATTACTGCCACTCTTCACCTTCATCTAATCGATCATTTGAGCAGCAACTGTCACGGTTTGGCCTGCTCATTTCCTCAATATCAGCATTTCATATTCAGTGAGATGGGACTTCGAACGACCCGAGAAATCAATCTTCAACTCTCGAGCCTTTCAATATGAGACTTGCACAAGTCACAGCCTCTGCGGCGCTTTTCGCCGGCTTCGCGTTTGCCCGACAGGACGCATGCTCGATCGAACTTCTTAACATCAACCAAGCCGTCGTCGACACCAAGTGCATTCCCTTCGACACTACCATGGCAATGAAGGACCCAACAGGACCCGGCGGCGGTCAGCTCTACAAGGTCCACGTCAACAATGTTTGCGGAATCGGGCTGGATGATGGCCAAGAGCTGTCGAACGGAGCTTCATTGAGAAAGGTCGGCCCATGCTCTTCTGGTTCAGGTTGATGTGGTTGGTCAGAGCATCGAAAATCACTTTTGTATATCCAGAAAGCCTTGTATTCATTGTTCGAATAAGGTTTTGAACCTAGATGTTGGCTCAAGTGCCACGAGCCCGAGACGTTTCTTTTATGGTTAAGCTTACATTGAACCACCCGAAGGCAACTTCACGCCCACTGGTCCATCTCCACGACGACTCAATTCTTTGTACGTGCCGTCGTCTTCCTTGAAAGTGAGGCCGAAAGCCCGGGAAAATGAGCGCATCTGATTAGTTGATGATATTCTGTTGGTGTGCCAAACTGGCAGCCGACCTTTTTGCGCCAACCCACTTTCAATATGTCACACCTTGCCAACCACATCTCGACCCACAGCTCTCATCACCGGTTGAAGCAAGCCGACAGACGTCCGAGAACTATCAACCTCCAGTTTTGCTGCTGATTCATATCAACCCTTGCAAGCTTCATCCGCCTCGCCGACGATTTCTCCAACTCCAAACCTCGCTTTGATGGCATCCAAGAGCCAGCCAGGCGGCGCCAAGCCCGTTTACGGTAGAACGTTGGCTGGCAAGATCCTATGGCTGCCCAAAAAAGAAGAGATCAGCACTTCACTTGACACCGATCTGTCACCCGGGGTCTATAATCACCCTGTGTTGATTATGTCCCATGCACCTCGCGACGATGGCACTGTGAGAGCTCTAACGGTATGCGACTCTCACCTGACGGCTTCGAATATGGTTAACATGACTACAGATGACTTCGGCCAACGGTAGAAACATCACGGAGGACATGGCCTTCCACTGGAAGTTTCGTGAGAAGTACCTACCCGTCGCCCCGACCCCTCCCCACACAGACTCGGGACTACAGCTCCATTTGGCGGGAGCTAGCTCAAGCAACAAGGCCTACAGACCGGCATACGTGATGACGCAAGGAGGACCTTACACAATCCACCGCGACGTGCTAAGAGCGCATCAAGGCACCAGTCTTAGTTCGAAGTCGTTCGGTATCCTCGTCACGGAGATGGGCTACACCGAGGAAGAAGATTACTTGAGGGAGCAGCGGGTTATTGAGAGAAAGAAGCGGAAGATCGAGAAAGATGAAGAGAAGGAGAAGCGCAGGGCCTTATGGGACCAGGGACAGGCAGCGAGTAAGCAGAAAGCCGAGGAGAAGAGGCAGCAAAAACAGGTGATCAAGAAGGAGAAGGCCGACGAGCGGATGGCCCTAAAGATTCAAAGGATGGCAGTTAATGAGAGGGACAAGGCTAAGGTCAACACCAAGCTGGACAAGGGCTTCTTCTGTCTGATGGCCGGCATTTGCGTGGCTATTCTTTGTGTGGAGGCTTTTCTCTGGTATGGCTTTTGGTTGGTGTTCGGCTTTTGGTAGGCAAGGAGGACAAGGAAGACAAGGAATGTAGAGATAAAACGCATCAAAGGAGTTTCAACGGCATCAAAGCATGTATGCATGGAGTTATTCATTCAGAGATGGCTGCATAACCCAACAAGGCTGGCAGATTACAACAGCAAGGCTGAGGATGAGTTCGATCTGGCCCTCTTTTGAATTGTCGAGCCACCTATTAGACAGCGTACAGAGTTTTCTCGACTCCCAAGCACCATGCTACCAAGTGAATTTTCTTTGCATCTCGCCTAACTTGGACAGTATGACATACTTTCCCTTTATCCTCTTTTCCATAGCAACACTTCGAAGTGTCTGGATTCAAACACGACCGCCCCTTTCTCGCAACCCTCAATGCCTCCCAAATCTCAACAGAAGCGACGGCCCCTGGAGGAGACGACAGAGCCTCTGGCTGGAAAGATCGTATTTGTTCCGCCGAAGAACCGGATAACCGCTCGCCTGAAGCCCGACCTGGAGAGGACAGGGTACAACCATCCAGGGGTGATCATATCCTCGTGGCCCGATGGTGTTGGCCGTGTGAAAATAGCCATGGTCGTTGAAGACCCTCGCTCCTCTGGTCACAAATCGAACAATATCTCGCTGACCATCTCTATAGTTGACGTCTTTTAAGGACACACCCGTTGCCTACGTTCTCGACCGCGAGGAGGACTACGCCCATTACCTACCCATCGACGACGCCCTCCACCCCATATCGTCCATACGGCGTCTAAAGAGGCGTCCCGAAAGCCCCTCGTTGCGAAAGAAGTCCTACGTGTACATCGGAGAAAAGCATACCATCCCCTACAAGGCACTCGAGCCATACGGTCGGTCATCTCGATACTCAGCGGGCCCGTGGCTCTGCGAAAAGTCAGTCCGAATACTACAGTCACACTTTGGCGAACCACTTGACGACTACGACGAAGACGACGACATCAGCTGCACCGACACTAGCGATGGTGAAGCAGATCTCGGTGAAGCAGATCCTGGTGGTGAGGGGCAGCTTGCCGGATGGCACATTGATGTTGAGCTGCAGTCAGTCTCCATCGGGCAAAGCACTTTGCCTTTGCAGCTGACCCTTGTCGCTGGGCCCTCAGCCGCCTCAATATTGTGGTCCGAAGGCTCGTCTTCCAACCCGCCTACGCCTACAGAATCGCCCTCAATCTCAAGGCTCTCCTCTTCATCTTTATCGTTCTCTGAGTTTCCGCCGTACTGCGACGAATACGTCACCCTTCATCAGCCCCAGCATGCTGTGTCGCCTTCGCTTCCGACAGCACAGGTTGATTATGCCACCAAACAGAATCAAACTCCGCAAGAGGGATCGGTCACAATTCCTTACATATTGTTGATCATCATAACAATGATCGCGTTTGGCCCTTCACTTGTCGGGGATGGCTCCGGCGAGTAAGACCTTGTTCACCGCAGGCGACCGCTTGTTCTGAGGATGGAATACTGGAAGGACGAAGATGAAGGACGGGAATGAAGGATGACGATCAAACGACCCGCACGTCAACATGACCGTGAATAAGAGGCCTGAAGGCTTCAAAGATCACAAATTTGCCCAAAGACTGATGGCTAAAAGAGCGCAACCTCGTCTGGAAGCAACGTCAGGCCATTGCCAGTAACGAGCTGATTGGGTTTAGAGATACTGATACGGGGAATTGGGGTTTAATAAGAGCCGCAGAGTATTGTAGAATAATTAGCCTAGAGGAAAGAACGGTTCATATGGTTGCTTTCACCATCTTGATTCCGTTGGCCCGAAAGCGCCGGCCGTCATCACTATGATTAGCTGAGGCAGAATACCGCGCTACTGAGACACAAAGCCTTTGGCCTCAACCAGTGTACAACGGATGATATGCAACCCTGCTGAGAGAGAACGACCCAAACCTCTCATTACTTCTCCGCAGACGTCAAACTCCTACAGGCCACATGAAAAACGCCCAACTTAACAACCCCCTTCATCCCCCTCAACAGCCCAATATTGTCCTTAAAAGCCTCCATCTCCCTGAACTTCAAATGCGCCTCAACACTTGGCCACCCAATAAATGCCACCAACAAGTTCCCCGTCTTGCCGTCCTCCCCAGTGATGGGTACATCATTCTCCTTGCTCCATCCATACGCAATACCCTTGAAGTCGGGCGACGTGTCGAGTGCCTGCACCTTGAACTTCTCAAGCTGCTTACTCAGGTCTTCTTTGGCAGGCTCATCCAGCTCCGCGGGGAAGAAGAGCGTCAGCACCTCAGTGACGGGTGCGTCAGCGAGAATGGTAGGCGGCCAGGGCTTGGTGACGATGTGCTTGATATAGCCATCCGTCCAGTCGAGGTAGGATGACATACTCTTGGCAACGACGTCTTGTTCCCTGTGAACGCATCAGTACATCATCTTGTAAACACAGACAAGCGACTCACGGCGTTGTGCGGTACGCAAGATGCTCCTCAACGCTATCCCAGTCCAGAAACAGCCACTGCTGGTGCGGCTTCTCGACCGCGTGGCCCCAGTAGATGCGCCCCGCGCCGGGCTGGGCGGCGGCGGTCTCGAGCATGTGCTTGATGTCCTTGCCCTCCGGGGTGTCGGGGTCCGGGAAGGGAGCGCCGGATTTGGAGGCGAAGTAGGAGAATTCGGTGAAGCCCATTTTGGCTGTGATGTAATTTGTTTTTATGGTGGTGTTTTGCATTCGTTGATGGGATCTTTGAACAGTTTAGATTGCAAGTTTCGTGAATTTTATATCATTGCCATCGTCGGTTTGAAGTAGGCTCACTACAGCCATCCCCGATCGATATTGCGCGAGAGCCTAGGCCAATCGGCGTGTGGGGTCAGGGTCAGAAACGATATCATCCTGGCTCATGCAATCTATCGCACTTTTGAGTTGTGGCGACCGGTCCCAAGCTCGAAGGAAGGCGCTAGGCGCGGAGGTAATAACCAAAAATCGACGACACAGATGCAAGCAAGGCCGAATTGGCTCTGGTAGAAAGGTGCATGTCATTTGTGGTGGTGTTGTTGTCTGCTTATTCATCCAGACCATTCAATCGCGTGCATCAACACCGCCAGAAACAGATCTCCATCACCACCTTGGCGATCTTCAACAACCGCGCCGAGACATACCACGCCAAGCTCGCTGTCATTCGTTGACACCGAGGGAAACTCGTGTCGGGATCCGGCTCATCTGCATCAACTGCCCATCTCCAAGAGTCAAGCACCTGTTCATGCTAACGCCAAGCTTCCAATACCACGCTTCACGCGGAGCACAAACCAGCTCAGAGGAAACCGTCTCATCAACCATGGGTGCCGCGGGTTATTTATGATTCAACACCTTCCTCTCCTCACTGCAGACGCTGCACAGAAAAGGGAAATGAAAACAAGTACGATCCAAGCGGCACCTATACGTCGCTCACGTCTCAATAGCACACCCCCTTTCGGCCTACCAACCGAGCCAAGTCCAGCACTCCCATCTCCCATCCGCGGCCTCAACCTCCGTCCTCACCACCCAAAACCTCCCAAGCCAAAAAGCGAGAAACCCCGTGAAGCACGTCGCAGCCGCCCAAAAATCCCCCCAACTCTGCAACACCACCAATCCCTGGTTTTGCGTGTCTGATTGGCTTCTCCATCCCCTGAAACCATCCGGTGTGGAGCCGCGCAGGGGGCCGGGGCTCGTCGGATCTGAAGAGTCGAACACCCCACCACGTCGCATCTCTCTTCAGACGACGCCGTCCCAGACCTGACAGGTGCAAGGAACCAGATGGTCAGGATTCTGGAATAAGCCTGGAGCAGGGGGAGAGGAAGAGAGAGAAAACGGCTTAGAGCGGATGTTGCGGCTCAGCCATCCAGGGACAGCCTTACCGAAAGTAGCACGCGCCGACAAGCTCTCGAGACTGTTCCTGTTGCAAGCGAGAGCTCTGCCTTTTCTTGTCTCCCATGAGGCTCTCTCAGTATCTTTCTCTCCTATGCTTCATCGCCCACGCTTCGCGCGGACTCCTGGCCAAATTAGACTCTCCCGCGGCACCCATCATCCGTTAAGATTTGCAGCTCCATGCTGACAAGGCGCAGCATCCCAGTCTCTCTCTCTCTCTGCTCATCCCAGAACAGAGACAGAGAGTCAGGAGACGTCGGTAAACGAAAAGCCCACACGATGGGATGCCACCCACCTCCACCACCTGGTGCAGGTTTTGGCGATGTTTAGACTCGAACCGGGGGTCCCGCGATCCGCGCCCTATGCTTATTTGCCAAGAGCCCTCCCTGCTCCTGCTCCCCCCTCCCATCCCCTGGTAACTGATGTGATGCTTAAAAGGCGATCATGTCCCTCCTCCCTCGCCGTGTATCTTGAGATGTTTTGAAGAGTATTCCATTCGTTCTTTTTTCTATCCTTCCGGCAAGGTTTCAATTCTGGTTCTGAATTCCACTTTCCGCAAAAACTACATTTCCTTCTTTTCTTCAAACACGACCAAGTTGTTTTAATCAAGTAAAAATGCAGCTTTCTCTCATCGTCCTCGCCGCCGGCGCCGGTGCTGCCATGGCAGGTAAGCCAAGTCCCATCCTTCTTCATCCGACATATCCATACTCACAAAAGCCTCCAGCCCCCCAGCTCGCCCTCCGCCAAAACGCCTGCTTCATCGTCGGCAACACCGTCCTGCCCCAAGAAGTCTCCGACGCCGTCACCTCGCTCCAGAACAAAGTGACCTGCGACACCTCCAAGAAGACGCTCTCCGGCGTGCCCGACGTCTCCGCCGGCAGCGTCAAGTTCTCCTCCATCAACTTCGCCGACGCCAAGGGCCAGACGCCGCTCGCCTTCGCCCTCGACAAGTTCGCCACCACGGAGCCGCTCGCGTCCAACGACCTGGCCACCTTCCAGAACCAGCTCGACGCCTACGTGGCCACCGAGGCCGGCATCCGCAGCGTCGGCGGCAACCTGGCGATCAAGGTGCCCAAGTTCTTTCTGAGCATGCAGGTGCAGCGGATCGCGACCGCGCAGGGAAACCCGCCCACGGCGGCGGGGCAGCAGGTTGACCATCTGAGGGACAAGGTGCTGAAGAACGCGCCCAAGGAGGATAAGGCGCTGCTGGACCAGGTTACTGCGCTGGCGGCCAAGACTACCTAAGACGTAATATTTGGGGGATGTAGTGCGAGTCAAGTAGTGGAAGTAATGTGGAATTTGAATCATTATTTGACCATTTCATCTCGGCGTTGAAGATATAATGACGTGAAACGTGACCGCCGATGATGGAATACTGTACAGGAAACCCGTATGGGTAGATTAGAAGACACAAGGAAGAGGGGAGAAGGACGGGCATATCCTTTTTTCTGGATCCCAAGCACTCAGACCGCCAGGCATCTCACATCCGTGATAACAAAACGCCGCCATCAACCGGCCCCGCAAAACAGTGCTGGGCGTCTAAAAAAACAAGTTGGTACAAGTCGCACAGACTTTTCGTCTTTGGTGGTTGATCAGTCCTCACGGGTGTTTACTTCTTCTGCTGCAGCTGCTCGAGCTGCTCCCGTTCGCGGACCTCGGCGCCCGAGGCCTTCCACCAGACGTCGCTGCCCCACCTGATGAGACGCTCCGCGGCGCCGAGGGGCGTCATGGCCGGGCGGACGTCGAGGTAGAACACCGGCTCGTCGCTGTCGGGGTCGGCCTCGCCGGAGTAGTAGTCGATGATGTAGCGGATCTCCTTGGTGGTGCCGCCAATCCTGCGGGAGACGAACCAGTCGTGGCGGTCAAAGGGGGGCTCGGTCCTGTTTTGAACGTTAGCACCAATGTTCTCTCCTTCGGTATGGGCGCAGCTTACTCAAACTTTGAGGGGTACAGGGTTCCGAGGACCTGCCACATGATAGCCTTGGGTGTCATGTCCTTGGGCCTGCCCTGGAAGCGGACGAGGGAGGGGATGTCCTCAGTGCCGGTCCTCATCTTCTCGAGCTCCGCCTCCGAGTTCTCCTCGCCGCGCTTGCAGACCTGCCAGCCCTTGTACAGGCCTTGGCTGAAGCGGTCCTCCCACCCGACGATCTCGGCCCAGGCGCCCTCGTTGAGGAAGTTGTGGACAGACACCATGGACTCGACGGCGGTGATGTCAGTGTCGGTGTAGCCCTTACGCAGCAGCGCATTGTACATCTGCTGAGGTGAGGGGTACTCCCAGTTGCCGTCGCCAGAGCCCTTTGGTATCGTCGAGGGCTCGCGCTCGGTGGGCAGGGCCATGGCCTGGTTCTGGGCGGGCGCCTGGGAGATGTCCTTGAACATGTAGTTGAGGGGGTTCAGCTGGGAGAGGATAGACTTGGACTCAGGCTTCGGTTGGTCGTGGGGGACGGGACATGAGGACGGGGGAGGGCCAGCGTGGCGCTGGTCGTGGGGTACGGGGCATGCTGATGGCGGAGGAGGTGGTGGTGTCGCGAAGTGGCGTTGGTCGTGGGGGATGGGGCAGGCGGAGGGCTTCGGTGTCGTGTTCAGGGCCTCTGCTGTCTTCTTGTGCATCGGGCAGCTGGGCTGGGTTGGTGTAAGCATCTAGACATGGAGGGGCATGGGCGAGGGATACATACTGGAGGCGAGCCCGATGGAAGGGCGCCGTGGGGATGCGCAGGAGCGTCGGCCCAAAACCAGCCCATGGTGTACAGTAGGCAGATTAGGTAGCGAAGGTATTCGGTATTATCGTACAGGACCAGAGGAAGTCGCCGCGGGGGTGGACGGTGTTTGCTGAGGATGGCGGGAGGGAAAATAAAAAAAAAAGCGTCGCAAAGACGTCGATAAGGAATAATCGCGGATAAAGAAGTGGAATGGAAGCTTCTGCCGCTGGTGGATTCGGGTTCCAGTGGGTGGTAATCGTAATCGACGTGCACCGCAGTGGTTCGCCAAAATTTCCAGCGGTCCCAGTCGCCCGTTTCGCGCCATCGGATGGACCCGCGACGCTGCTCCTTCCGCGCGGGCGGAATCGCCATGCCCAGGGCAGAGAGGGGGGGGGGGGGGGAAAAAGAAAAAAAAAAAAAAGATGTAGTGTCATCGATTGGCAGCCACATGTTTGCCCGACATTTCCCCGATCTTCGTGCAGACGGCGCAGAATTCCCACCCGCGAAATCCCTACGTCACCACCATCCCAAAGCGTCCATTCCCGGTCCCCTGCTCCCCGCGATCCCGCGCGACGAATTCCCATCTCCCCATCATCGTGAGACCGCCCCCGAATAGCTCCGATTCGCAACCACCGCTCCAATCGCTGAGAATGAGACCAAACTCCCGCTCTTCCAACCCCATCCCTCCCTCGAGATGAGACTGGCCTTCGTCCTCGGCCGGTTCTGTCCACGTCCGGGCTTCCGAGCACCAAGCAGCAACACCAGCAGCGCGCGGCTTTACTCCACCTTCCGAGGGTCCTTTCGCAGCCCCGGGGCGCGACGCACACCATGGCGGAATAAGCAGTACACACGGTACACGCTGCGCGCGGGTGGTGCGGGCGTGAGTGCTCTGGGCACTGCGGCCTTCTTCGAGCTGTCGCAGAAGGATAACGAGGGTACCGATCAGACGGGGGAGAAGCGCATGTTGGCGGTCAGCCGCTCCGAGATCAAGAAGACAGTCGCCGACGACGATCGCGGAGTATCGAGGGTTTGGCACACGCTGAAACTTGTGGTGGACGTCTACATCTGGGAGCCCATATGCACGGGTGTGCGGTTCCTCCATCTCGCCGCCATCTTTGTTCCAGTCCTCCTTGCCGTGCCAGCAATATGGATCGGGAGGCGGCAGCCTGACCGGGACAATGAGCGGAGTGGCACACTGTGGTGGTACGGCTTCCTGGTGCAATCGATGGAATGGGCCGGTCCGGCCTTCATCAAGGTGAGCATCACATCGACAGATCCCATCCGCAACTCCTGACGTAGAGCAGCTCGGCCAATGGGCAGCATCACGATCCGACATTTTTCCGAACGAAATGTGCGAAATCATGTCCAAACTCCACTCCAACGCCCCGGCGCACTCCATCCGTCAGACCAAGCTCATTGTCTCCGCCGCCTTCGACGGCCGTGACTTTGCAGATATTTTCGAGGAATTCGACGAGGAGCCCCTCGGTGTCGGCGCCATCGCGCAGGTATACAAGGCCAAGCTCAAGGCCGACCTCGCCGCCCCCAACGCCGACCTCCCCAACGAGCCAAAACCCCTCCGTCAAAAGGTCGCCAAGAACGTCGACGCCGCCCTCAAGAGCACGCCCAAACGCGTCCCCTCGACCTACGTCGCCGTCAAGGTCCTCCACCCGCGCGTCGAGCGCATCGTCCGCCGCGACCTGCGCATCATGCACTTCTTCGCCTCCGCCCTCAACGCCATCCCCACCATCGAGTGGCTCTCCCTCCCCGACGAGGTCGCCCAGTTCGGCGAGATGATGAAGCTCCAGCTCGACCTCCGCATCGAGGCCGCCAACCTCGCAAAGTTCCGCAAGAACTTCACCGACCGCAGCACCGCCTGGTTCCCCTACCCCTACACCGAGTTCACCACCCGCAACGTCCTCGTCGAGGAGTTCGCCCAGGGCATCCCACTCGCCGACTTCATGGAGAACGGCGGCGGCGTCTTTCAGCACGACATCGCTTCTGAGGGCCTCGACGCCTTCCTCCGCATGCTCCTCATCGACAACTTCGTCCACGCCGACCTGCACCCGGGCAACATCATGGTGCGCTTCTACCAATCCGACGAGCCCGACCTCAAATTCCGCCGGTCAACGACGCACCACCCGCAGGAGCAGAACGACGTCACCGAGCAGGTCCTCGCGCGCCTGCGTCCCTTCCGCCACCGCGCAGACCCCGCCGCCTGGGACGCCGAGCTCGCCAAGATCGACCGCGAGGGCTTCCGCCCGCAGCTCATCTTCATCGACACGGGCCTCGTCACCGAGCTCAACGAGACGAACCGCCGCAACTTCCTCGACCTCTTCCGCGCCGTCGCCGAGTTCGACGGCTACAAGGCCGGCAACCTGATGTGCGAGCGCTGCCGCCAGCCCGACGCCGTGCTCGACAAGGAGATCTTCGCGCTCAAGATGCAGCACCTCGTCCTCGGCGTCAAGAGCCGCACCCTCGCGCTGGGTAACATCAAGATCGGCGACATTCTGCAGGAGGTCCTCGGCATGGTCCGTGGGCACCACGTGCGGCTGGAGGGTGATTTCGTCAACGTTGTCATTAGCATTCTCCTCCTCGAGGGCATCGGACGTAGTTTGAATCCGGATATGGACCTCCTCAGTAGCTCGCTGCCGATCCTGCGACAGCTGAGCGCGCAGAGTGGCACGGAGATGGCGAGGCATGGCGACTTTAGCATGCTGGTGGTGTGGATGGGCCTGGAGACGCGACGGTTCTTGCAGGCTAGCATCGAAGATGTGAGCAACACCCCCTACACGACTGATGAGGTAACCAGACTGACGAAGCACAGGTCGAGCGATGCGTCAAGTACGATCTCCTTTCACCAAATGTGTAATGTAAAGTGTACAGTACGGATAGACGGAATGCATAACGCGGCGCAAGGGACGTGGCGGGTTAGATATACATCTCATACAGCAGAGGTTTCGAATAAACGCCGATTTAATCTTGTTAGAAATACGTTTGGTGTTCAGCTTTAGTGATGACTTGACCGTGTCATTCACATCTCTCTGGAGCAACTAGCTAATTATACTGACATGGTTGCAATGAGCAAGTAAACCATGCAGCCCTCAGAATCCCGACACCTTCTGCTCAGCCAATATGACTAATTTTCAACCCAGGTCTCTCATCCCGAAGTCTCTTGACCATCGCATCATATACCTTGGTATTTTTCAGCACGATCTTGTTCAGGTTGGTCGCGACCGGGGTCCCGATCAGCTGGTGCAACGCCGCCCCGTACACGTTGTTCGGCTCAAAGTCGGCACCACAGAGGGCGAGGTGGCGGATGTACTTGCACTGGGAGATCACTGCCGCGACGCTGCGGTCGGAGAGGTGGATGCCGCCGTGAATGCTAAGGTTCTCGAGGATGGGACAGGCGCTGACGAGGCGCACGAGGCCGATGTCGGTGAGTGGCAGGCGGATCTCGGGGGAGCCGGCGGTTATTTGGACGACGCTCTGGAAGAACGAGGAACGGTGGAGGAGGATCTCGTGGATGTGGAGACTGGCATGCCATTAGTTGAATACTTTATGGGAAGGTAGAGAGAGGGGAACGAGGGCAGAGGTAGGGACGAAGGGCGAGGACAGAGGTAGGGATGGAGGACGACGCCAAAGAAAGCATGGAGGACGACGGCAAAAGATAGGGATGGGGGATCAGGGCAAGGTAGGGAGAGACACGTACTCCGAAAGCTGGAAATCAGGCCCAAAGTCGAAGTAGCTGACCGGTGTGTCGTCGCCATCATTCACCTTCTGCGTGAACTCGGCCTCTGAGTCGACGGTGACGACGCGTATGAAAGGCTGGTTGACGTTCGGGTTCGGAGTCACGAAGACGCGCGGCGCGAGGGACTCTTCGGCTAGCTTTAGGACCTCAAGGCTAGATGTGAGGGATTCCTCGGCCGCCACTCCTAACTCTGGGCCGTCGGCCGCGGTGGCCTCTCGACTGTCACGTCGCGGCGCAAGCTGTTCTTCGGTCGCCATCGTTGGCTCTGAGCCGTTAAACCGCACTCGTTTCCGGCTCGGGGGCATCGTGGCGGACTCCTTGTCGCTGATAAAATCTTCGGCATCGTAGTAGAAGGAGTTTGACGAGGCTTCAGAACCTTCGGGGGATCGAGCTCGCTTGTTCGACGTGCGGACGGAGTCGATGCCCTCCTGGGCTGCTGCAGCCTTTGATGCCTCCTGCTCCCTTGCGATATCGTCCTCCCTGTTGTTTTTGGGCGCGTCTTTTCTGGGAAAGTGACCGTTGGAAGTTTGCTGCTGCTTCATCTCAGAACGCTCTCGTTCGCCCAGCGTCTCCCAGAGGGCGTTATGTGCTTTGTGCCACGCAGATCTTTCTTCGACATTCAGCCCTTCAGGTGGAAGTATGCCACCTTTGCCAAGCATCGAACGAGCGGAGGGGATCCGTTTACCAGTGGATGCGTCAAACTCAGGTGGGCGGGCTTCGATCTGTTTGAGCACTTGTTCTTGTATGCGAACGTGTTCCTTAGGTGTCATCCTCTTCCACCTCTCGTTATGACACCGGCGCCATCCCATAAGCTCTAGACCAACGAACACAGCAGGAGCTGGGATGCCCCCACTGCCTCGGAAGGAAGGGTGGAACTCCCTTGGAATTTGAGGATTGGTTAAAGACGCGATACGCCTGGCCTCCAGGGCAAGCCTGATCTTCTGCTGAAGATCCAGGCTCTTCAGCCTGTAGCGCTTGGTGGCTGGATCCTCCCTCTTCGCCTTCTTCGCCTTCTTCGCCATCCGCCTCTGCTTCTTTGCGCCATTGGTGTTGTTGTTAGCGCCGTTGTTGGCGCCGGCCGTCATCGAACGTGTATTCATCGTACGCCTAGGAATCCTCGTCTCGTCATAGTAGGTCGTGGTCGGGGTTGGGTTCGTGGTGAACATTGATGGTGTTGATGGGGTGGGAGTGGGGAAGTTGTTGTCTAGAAGTTAGGAGCAGAGAGGAAAGAAACCGAGGTGAGGTGTTGACCGTTCCTTCCCTTCGGACTTAGAGCAGATGGTGTCCTAGGATCGTTCCTTCCGTGAGTGTCCAAATTCGCGTCGCACAAGGAAGCCCGTCGCGTACCTATTAAAAATACCGTCTAATTGTAAAAATATGTATGATGCCATAGATCTCGATTGATTGTAGTTTCATCTAGACGTGCGACTTTTCTTGATTTTATTTGACCTGCCCCAGTTCGTGCCGTGCTTTCCTGGTGTTTTCAACACACATTCACAGTCACCTCTTCATTGCAAGCACCATAGGAAGTGAAACGTTCCAATCGAACCTGAGGCGATTTGCTGTTTGCAAATCATCTCGTCAGGATCTCCAAAACAGTCAAGAACTCAGGTATAAATGGAGAGACCACCCAATCTGCTTGTGTCTGCGCGGCGTTCTTGTCCAAGATAGTGATGGCGACGACGGCAATAACAACAACGACCATGGATTGTAATGATGCCAACGACGACAGCAATGAAGATTTCAACGACGAAAACACCAGCAGAGCAGAAAAAGGTGTACAATTGCATTTAAGGTAGTTCCTCTAGCACGGGAAAAAGAGGGCGTATTTAAAATGAAGGTCTGGAATGAGTGATCAGACACAAGTTAACGGACACGCGAATCTTTCTTCCCTTCTAACTTTTCTTCTTCGCAGTTGCCGCCTGGAGGCGCACCTTGTTGACTGGCTGTTTCCGACAATGATACTGCGAACCACTATGAGCTCCAGCTCCTGACGATTTCAAGAAGAGGGAGAAAGCACTTGACATTATTATGGCTCTAGGAAAAAAGAACTCATTCCCTCTTCATGAAAATCGAGTTCTCAACATCGTGTGCGCCCGGGCAGGATGTCAACTGATGCACTTTGATTGAGTTTGTAGTTACTACGCAGCCCCCCCGCAAAAAGACTACGGCAAAATTCACCCCATAGGGGCACAATTCTGGAAACACTATATGGGCACTTTGACCTGTGCCCTCTACCAATTAAGGAAAACAGTACAGATGCACTTTCATTAATACATAGAATTCATAAATCTATACTGTATTACAAGCAATCTATTAGACAGCAGACTCGCAACCTCGCCGTGGCATAGTCTTTGGACTCCCAATTCCGGCCTAGAGCCCTTGGACGATGATCGGACCACTTCAGAGCGTCAAGTTACAGCGTGAAATCCTGCATTCCCCCGTTACAGAAGATCTTCAATAGACGCGATACTTTCATGTCATCTTACATATACCATGCTCAACTTCCAAATGTCATCTAGTCTTCCTTTTCTACAGCATCCTGTCAAAGCGCGCACATTGCATTGTCCGTGAGCTGGATGTCAGTGTGCTGTTATGCCTGTCAGACTCTTTGAAATCGATGAAACTCGCTTTGACACCGACCCATTGCGTCGGGGCCACATCCGCACATGAAAACCACCGGTTGACACTTGGTTACACAGCCTCGAAACCAAGTTGCTGCTGGAGAAATCACTTGTCAAAAATTCGGGCAGACGGAACGGCTGCAAGGACGGCACATCTGACAAGGTGGATGAAGTGGGATCATTTCACGTTGCATTAGATTCAAAGTTTCTGAGTTTCTGTCAAATTTCTAGAACGGGTTAGGCAGGATCTCAAAAGCCTGCCTGACAGGAGGATAGTTCAATGGCTTAAGAGCTATCCAATAGACAAGCCATCTTTAATTCCCCGGCTGGCGCTTAGTCCAGCGGGAGATTTATGCTCGCAACGGCCAAGTGCGGCGGGGCTTGACGTCGGAATGGTTCCGACTTGAGAGTTCCGTAAGCCGTTGAAGGTTGAGCTTACGGCAAGGTAAAAAGGCTTTGGCATTAGTAGAGAACCACACCACATCAATTACTACCGCATTCCGGACACGTGTGTAAGTGCGGAGATACAGAGAACCCCTCTTCTAGCCGCCAACTCTGTTTAGTGAGCAGAGCATTGTAGTGCTAGATTTTGACGGGTGTCATGACAAAAAAGCTTTCTGCACACATCAAGCTCAGCCTGTGGGAAAACCGTTGCCAAGCAGCACGTCCCACACGGGGTCAAAGACATCGCCAAGACATCATCCGGCACTCAACAGGTGATAGGTCGAGTGAAGTCTCATAAGCCGCAACGCCAAGCCGACAATGACGGCAAGAATACCCTGACAGTGACCAGTATAGAAACCTTTACTCCATAAACATGCGACGTATCGCTGGGATCAAGAGGGTTGACCCCTGACAGCCCAACCCAAACAGGGCCGCACACCTGCAAAGGCAAAGATAACCGATGCTAAAATCTGCCCTACATCGGCCGTTGGGCTGACGTTGGTCAGGGACATGCCTGCTGTTTCGTAACGGCCCGGTCCCTAGAAACCAGGGCGATCTCGTTGGCTGGAGTCTCAGCATCGTTGCAGCTGGGCCTTACGCTTTTTGCCTCTAAAGCAACTCTGGTGGGTAAGCTTTGCGCTTGGTTCATGGCTCGCGCCGGGGGTGCGCCCGGCGAGAAAGTCTGTGAGAGGCTTTCGGAAAGGCTGACTCGAACGGCTTGTTGCGAGGTTATCGGGCTCACGATAGTTGGCAGAGGCTTCAGTGACGGTGAGAATGAGACGTCGTTAGAGTATCGTGAGTTGCCGCTGGACGGGGCGTGATGAGTAGGAGCTCCGGCTGACTACGGGGACTCTGCGACTCACTTCGACATGCCCATAACAAGTCGCGCGAAGGTACCAGACGTCAACCCTGAGGAATATGATGAAAATGGTACTGGAGATGCCGCAAACTCTCGAACGAAGCGCTGTCTTTCAAGTATAGCCTGTAGGTCTCTACGCGACACCTGGCAGTAGGAAGAATTTACATAGTTGAGACACAAATATCATCATGTTC